CGGACTCGCAGGTGTGTGATGCTAACGGATGTGACTATGGCGTGTGCTTGTAAAGATGCACCATCCTCATGTATACGGACTCGCAGGTGTGTGATGCTAACGGATGTGACTATGGCGTGTGCTTGTAAAGTTGCACCATCCTCATGTATACGGACTCGCAGGTGTGTGATGCTAACGGACGTGACTATGGCGTGTGCTTGTAAAGATGCACCATCCTCATGTATACGGACTCGCAGGTGTGTGATGCTAACGGATGTGACTATGGCGTGTGCTTGTAAAGTTGCACCATCCTCATGTATACGGACTCGCAGGTGAGGTTGATTGTGTGACTGTGTATGTAAGGACTTTAGTCGACTCATAAGCCTTTGTGCACCGAACGGGGCGAGTGGGCAAGACCGGATGCCCATCCTCATGTACACGGACTCGCAGGCGTGTTTCTGCAAAAGGTGACTGTGTCTTGTGTCGGGACTGATGGTATGTATGTGAAGGATGCGGCTCTAGCATGTCATGTATGACCTTGATGCATCATCTGGCAAGACTGGCTGCACCATCCTCATGTACACGGACTCGCAGGTGCGTGAAATTACACCAACGGATGTGACTATACTAGATGTTTATGCACCACACCTGTGGACATGCAAGTTTGGAGGCTGTAAGTTTGAGAAGGCCTCCCCGCCCCACCCGGACGACGTGCTCCAAGCCTCCGCCAACCAGTCCGCCGCCCTCATCCCCCCATGCCCCTCCCTCCCTCCTCTTCCCATGCCCCTCCCTCCCTCCTCTTCCCCCTTCCTTCCCCCAACCAGCTCCGTTCCCTGCGCATGATAGAGCGGGACATCGGCTGCAAGTTTGAGAAGGCCTCCCCGCCCCACCCCGACGATGTCCTTCAAGCCTCCGCCAACCAATCAGCTGCCCTCATCAACCGGGTCCACCCTGAACTCGCGGAGTCCTTCCTGGAAACTGCCGAGAAGCTTCTCGAGGAGCGCGGCCCGATAGCGCTAGCTGCCGCGATCGCCCACCTGAGCGGTTTCAGCCAGCCGCCCGCCACCCGGTCGCTGCTGACGCACGAGGAGGGGTATGTGACGGTGCGTGTGATCCGCACGGCCAAGAGCCGCAACGGCCCGCTCATCTCCCCGCGCGCAGTCATGGGGACTCTCGGGGAGATCTGCCGCCGCGCTGCTGACAACGTGGGGAAGATCAAGATCCTGGGCGAGCGAGATGTGAGTGGGGCTGTGGGGGTTTAGGGGGACTGGGGGATGGGGATGGATGGGTCATGAGTGGGTGGGGAGGGAGTCATGTGTTGCCGGGCGGCGGACAATGTCGGGAAGATCAAGATCCTGGGCGAGCGAGATGTGAGTGCGTGGATTTAGAAGGATGGGGGATGGGGAGTGGTGTTTGACTTGCCAGACAATGTGGTCAAAGATCTGCTCAGTTTCAAGATTTTTGTCGCAAGCTTGCTCTCTCTCCCCCTCGTTCCCTCTCTCTAATCCCCTCTTTCTCCCTCTCTGTCACGCCCTCCCTCCTTTCAGGTGGAGGGAGCCGTGTTTGACCTGCCAGAGGACGTGGCAAAGGAGTTGCTGAGCCTTAAGATTGACAACGGCGACGTCTTTGACATCCCGCGCCAGGTGGGTGCGTGGTTCTGCTTTGTCTTAAGAGCATTTGTGTTGATAGCTTATGTTGATAATAAATATGTTATCTTATATTAGAAAACAAGGTGTGTGCGTCCCCCCGTCAGCTGCCCATGCTGGTACATGTTGACGTTCGTGGTGGCAGTGACAGGGATGTATCACTAGAAAATGCCGAGGTTGATTCCCCCCCTTCCCTCTGCCTTCATATTTTCGTGCCCATCCCATGTGCCTCTCAGCTGCCCACGCTGGTGGGTGATGATGTGCGGGGCGGAGGCAGGGACAGGGACAACTACGGGCGGTTTGGATAGAAGGGGACACCTGTACTCATGCTTTTATATCCCCATCTCCCATGTGCCCTCTGCTCCTCCTCTGCCCACGCTGGTGGATGATGATGTTCACGGCGGCAGGGACAGGGACAACTACGGGCGGTTTGGATAGAAGGGGACACCTGTACTCATGCTTTTATATCCCCATCTCCCATGTGCCCTCTGCTCCTCCTCTGCCCACGCTGGTGGATGATGATGTTCACGGCGGCAGGGACAGGGACAACTACGGGCGGTTTGGATAGAAGGGGACACCTGTACTCATGCTTTTATATCCCCATCTCCCATGTGCCCTCTGCTCCTCCTCTGCCCACGCTGGTGGATGATGATGTTCACGGCGGCAGGGACAGGGACAACTACGGGCGGTTTGGATAGAAGGGGACACCTGTACTCATGCTTTTATATCCCCATCTCCCATGTGCCCTCTGCTCCTCCTCTGCCCACGCTGGTGGATGATGATGTTCACGGCGGCAGGGACAGGGACAACTACGGGCGGTTTGGATAGAAGGGGACACCTGTACTCATGCTTTTATATCCCCATCTCCCATGTGCCCTCTGCTCCTCCTCTGCCCACGCTGGTGGATGATGATGTTCACGGCGGCAGGGACAGGGACAACTACGGGCGGTTTGGATAGAAGGGGACACCTGTACTCATGCTTTTATATCCCCATCTCCCATGTGCCCTCTGCTCCTCCTCTGCCCACGCTGGTGGATGATGATGTTCACGGCGGCAGGGACAGGGACAACTACGGGCGGTTTGGATAGAAGGGGACACCTGTACTCATGCTTTTATATCCCCATCTCCCATGTGCCCTCTGCTCCTCCTCTGCCCACGCTGGTGGATGATGATGTTCACGGCGGCAGGGACAGGGACAACTACGGGCGGTTTGGATAGAAGGGGACACCTGTACTCATGCTTTTATATCCCCATCTCCCATGTGCCCTCTGCTCCTCCTCTGCCCACGCTGGTGGATGATGATGTTCACGGCGGCAGGGACAGGGACAACTACGGGCGGTTTGGATAGAAGGGGACACCTGTACTCATGCTTTTATATCCCCATCTCCCATGTGCCCTCTGCTCCTCCTCTGCCCACGCTGGTGGATGATGATGTTCACGGCGGCAGGGACAGGGACAACTACGGGCGGTTTGGATAGAAGGGGACACCTGTACTCATGCTTTTATATCCCCATCTCCCATGTGCCCTCTGCTCCTCCTCTGCCCACGCTGGTGGATGATGATGTTCACGGCGGCAGGGACAGGGACAACTACGGGCGGTTTGGATAGAAGGGGACACCTGTACTCATGCTTTTATATCCCCATCTCCCATGTGCCCTCTGCTCCTCCTCTGCCCACGCTGGTGGATGATGATGTTCACGGCGGCAGGGACAGGGACAACTACGGGCGGTTTGGATAGAAGGGGACACCTGTACTCATGCTTTTATATCCCCATCTCCCATGTGCCCTCTGCTCCTCCTCTGCCCACGCTGGTGGATGATGATGTTCACGGCGGCAGGGACAGGGACAACTACGGGCGGTTTGGATAGAAGGGGACACCTGTACTCATGCTTTTATATCCCCATCTCCCATGTGCCCTCTGCTCCTCCTCTGCCCACGCTGGTGGATGATGATGTTCACGGCGGCAGGGACAGGGACAACTACGGGCGGTTTGGATAGAAGGGGACACCTGTACTCATGCTTTTATATCCCCATCTCCCATGTGCCCTCTGCTCCTCCTCTGCCCACGCTGGTGGATGATGATGTTCACGGCGGCAGGGACAGGGACAACTACGGGCGGTTTGGATAGAAGGGGACACCTGTACTCATGCTTTTATATCCCCATCTCCCATGTGCCCTCTGCTCCTCCTCTGCCCACGCTGGTGGATGATGATGTTCACGGCGGCAGGGACAGGGACAACTACGGGCGGTTTGGATAGAAGGGGACACCTGTACTCATGCTTTTATATCCCCATCTCCCATGTGCCCTCTGCTCCTCCTCTGCCCACGCTGGTGGATGATGATGTTCACGGCGGCAGGGACAGGGACAACTACGGGCGGTTTGGATAGAAGGGGACACCTGTACTCATGCTTTTATATCCCCATCTCCCATGTGCCCTCTGCTCCTCCTCTGCCCACGCTGGTGGATGATGATGTTCACGGCGGCAGGGACAGGGACAACTACGGGCGGTTTGGATAGAAGGGGACACCTGTACTCATGCTTTTATATCCCCATCTCCCATGTGCCCTCTGCTCCTCCTCTGCCCACGCTGGTGGATGATGATGTTCACGGCGGCAGGGACAGGGACAACTACGGGCGGTTTGGATAGAAGGGGACACCTGTACTCATGCTTTTATATCCCCATCTCCCATGTGCCCTCTGCTCCTCCTCTGCCCACGCTGGTGGATGATGATGTTCACGGCGGCAGGGACAGGGACAACTACGGGCGGTTTGGATAGAAGGGGACACCTGTACTCATGCTTTTATATCCCCATCTCCCATGTGCCCTCTGCTCCTCCTCTGCCCACGCTGGTGGATGATGATGTTCACGGCGGCAGGGACAGGGACAACTACGGGCGGTTTGGATAGAAGGGGACACCTGTACTCATGCTTTTATATCCCCATCTCCCATGTGCCCTCTGCTCCTCCTCTGCCCACGCTGGTGGATGATGATGTTCACGGCGGCAGGGACAGGGACAACTACGGGCGGTTTGGATAGAAGGGGACACCTGTACTCATGCTTTTATATCCCCATCTCCCATGTGCCCTCTGCTCCTCCTCTGCCCACGCTGGTGGATGATGATGTTCACGGCGGCAGGGACAGGGACAACTACGGGCGGTTTGGATAGAAGGGGACACCTGTACTCATGCTTTTATATCCCCATCTCCCATGTGCCCTCTGCTCCTCCTCTGCCCACGCTGGTGGATGATGATGTTCACGGCGGCAGGGACAGGGACAACTACGGGCGGTTTGGATAGAAGGGGACACCTGTACTCATGCTTTTATATCCCCATCTCCCATGTGCCCTCTGCTCCTCCTCTGCCCACGCTGGTGGATGATGATGTTCACGGCGGCAGGGACAGGGACAACTACGGGCGGTTTGGATAGAAGGGGACACCTGTACTCATGCTTTTATATCCCCATCTCCCATGTGCCCTCTGCTCCTCCTCTGCCCACGCTGGTGGATGATGATGTTCACGGCGGCAGGGACAGGGACAACTACAGGTGGTCTGGGTAGAAGGGGACACCTGTACTCATGCTTCTGTTCCCTTCTCCCCTGCGCGGTGCTGTCTGTTTGCCTTGCCCATCCCTCCCATGTGCCTCTCAGCTGCCCACGCTGGTGGATGATGACGTGCGAGGAGGCAGGGACAGGGACAACTACGGGCGGTTCGGAGCCAGGGGAGGGGACAGGGGGAGGGGCGGAGGCGACAGGTACTCTCGCGGAGGGGACAGGGACAGGGGAGGAAGAGGAGGCGACCGTGACAGGGGTTTCAGGCGCGATGACGGCGGCAGGAGAGAGAGGTGAGTGGTGTGATTTTATGGTATGTTGAAGTATGCTATAAGGGAAGGGGTTGAAAGGGACAGCTTCTCGTGTGGTGGGGCCAGGGAGAAAGGGAGGCGGGGCGACCGTGGCAGGGGGTGCCACAATATTGTGTTTGCCTGTTCCATTTCTCCTGCTTGCACCTCTCCATGTGCATTTGCCACCAAACCAAAATGATACCTCACGTGTCTCATATCCGCGTCCTTTTCCCTCTACTCTTTCTTCTCTCTCTCTCTCTCTCCTCCATATCAGGTCTGGCAGCTGGGGTGACGTGGGTGACAGGCGCAGTAGCGGCAGCAGCAGCGGCGGCAGCAGGTTCGGTGGAGATCGCGACCGATTCTCCTCCCGGGATCGCCGCCCGGCTGGCGGAGGGTTGGTCAACCGCCGCAATTTCACCTCTGATGCGTGGGAGAGTGAGGACAGTGATGGATACTACACCCCATCCCCCTTGGAGCGCACGCCCAGCGCACCCGGCGGGTCGTATGGTCGCGGGGGTGCGGGAGGAGGGTTTTCAGGGGTTTGCTTCTTGTGCAAGCAACCTGGGCACAGGGCGGCAGACTGTCCTGTGGTGGCTGGCCGGTAGAGATGCTGGTGCCTTGGTTACTGAGTTTTAATTTACTGTTGGGCCTGGAAATTTGAACTGCTAGGTTGCACTGGGCAGAGGGTGGGAATGGAAAATGGTTCTGTTGTGAGACTTAGTGCAATGGTTGAATAACTGACACAGTACTGCCGCACACTTGGAAGTTTAGACTCGGAACATTTGATGTACGCATTAGCACAGGAACAGATGTGCGGACGTAAAGTATACGGTATGTACCAGCACTAACACCAGCACGAGCATCAGCAGCAACAGCAACACCTGCATCACACTCAACAAACGTCTCAATAGTCAAGAGTCAAGACGAGCTGCAGCAGGCTGTGCTGGATCAGGATACCTGAAACACTAGAATAAGCATCTCTTTTACTGAATTACAGTGTCTAGGTAACAGTCTGTGTAGATTGGCCCAGGGTTAGACAGCATACAATGGGCTTCACAGTGAAATACCAGCAGTATCAGCAGCAACAACAGCAAAGCTGGACCATCAAGCTTTTACACTCAATATACTCCACATTCTAGACGTCAGTGACGTAACCCCCGTCTTCTTCGCGTCCTCCCTCACCTCCTCCCCTCGCACTGCTCTCAAACGAGCAGCTTCCTGCTGGAAGACCAGCAGCACGTCCCTCGTGGCCAGCTGCAGGAGACTGTGAAGACACCGCTTGAAAATGGATGGCGGTGCAACTGACGGCTGGACAATTTGGCAGAGCACCAGACGGGAAGCCAGACGAAATCCGTCAGGTGCAGTCGGATTCGATCCGCCTGTATCCGTCTTCACGTCTGGCGCTTCGTCGGATTCGTCGCTGCTGGTGCTGCTTTCGTCGAAGCTCGTGATGCCATCGCTTGATTCTGTAGATTCGCATCGGCGGAAGCTGGAATTGTCTGGTAACGATGTAGCAGACGATGCAGGGACAGGCAGAGGCTCGACTCTCCAGAATCCTTCAAATTTCCGCATGAAGCCTGGTCGAGTCAGGGCGAAGGTCATGGTGCGGTTAGGCCTGTCCTGAACCATGCGCATGTGCGCGTCGAACGTGCCAGTAAAGAACGGCAGCTGAAACGAAAACGCCATGTCCATCTCGACCTCCTTCACCCCGTTACAGTCACGCACGACGTGGTGGTTCCGCACCGATTTGATGTTCCTGAACACGCGGCGATTGTAGGGGTCGCACACGAGGCTGAATACGGCATCGGGAGGAAACGCGACGGTTGCAGTGCCGTCTAGCTGGCAGAGCGCGTTTGGGCCGACTGTGACCGTCATGTCAGGAGCTTCGTCCGTCCAAATGGGGTCCAGAAACCACGCTGCTAGCTGGCTGCTCATGGATTCCAAAGAGTCTTCGTTCAGCGACGAGGGTACTAGCAATGTCGAGGTGGAAGTGGCGGACTTGACTGCCATGATGCCGACGTGAGATACAGCAGCCTCAGATTCGGAATCTGACACAGAATGAGTTCGTCACTCTGTAACAAAAGACAGTTCAAATCCCGTTCTCCTGAAATTCTTCCAGGGAGCTGGGGCGTCGTTAATTTCGAGGGAGCCTTACTCCAGCGTTCACACTCTCGCAGCGGAGAATCAGGCAGAGAAGCAGCAACTCAGAGAGACTTGGAAACCAGAAGCATCTTTCAGTGAATGAAGGAACAAGCGACTTCTGAACCGAAATATAGGATCTCTAGGTTGTTTTGGGTCTTCGTCCACCAGATCGTCCAGCCTGTGGGTTATCACACGGTTTAAAACGGTTGAGGTTCTTCACCGCTGTTGACCGTAATGACCCATGCAAAACCGAAGTGAAGTGCTGAGTGACACCCCCAATATAAAAACCCATTTCTCCCATCGAAGATTCCGCGGTTGGTTGATCCGAAAGGCACATCCTCTGAGCCGTGCGATTGGAATGTAGAATGGTGGTGAGCCGTGCGATAAGACCAAAACACAAAAATGCCAATATTGGTAAATGTAGGGTGGGGAATGCCGCGCCGCGCTCTTGCAGAATCTCTCCGATTTCATCCTTTCTGATAATCCGCACAGGTGGAAATCTTTATTCGAACTATCCAATATTTTATTACACACCGGATATCACTTTTCTAGTTCCTACTACTGCTCCCTCCCTGAGGCTCCAGCCAATGCTTAAAAGAAATGTGCAAAACCAGATTGTTAACTTCATCTCGCACCACAAACTTTAGTTGGGAAGGAGCAGATAAGGAAAACAGGGAAAAGTACTAGTGTGGCTCATTGATGGCCCTCTCAACAAGTTCAGCTACAGGGAGGGCAGGAGAGCAGCAAAGAAACAAGCTTCTTTTAGCTGCGATTGTCCCGCGCTGCTGAAACACCACTTGCAGATGCACCAAATCCGAATACTGCTCCCCAAGCTCCTGCTGCGCCTGCTTCTCCTCCTGCTGACCGTTACGCTCCTGCTGCTTCTCCTCCTGGCCTTGCTCCTGCTTTGGTCCTTGCCTAACCTCCCTCTCTTGCTGTCGCGACATCCCTCTATCCTCCCCAATAAAACCGCTACCCCTGCCTCGCAAAAGCCCTCCACATGACTCGAAAACCCCATATCCGCCACCCACAAGCCTCAGCATCTCCTCAAGAACGTTCTCTTGACCAGCAACGCTCCCGTTAACACCCCCTTGACCAGCCAGACAGTGAGTTTGCAAACCATCCCGGCAAGCCAAATCAGACGTGCCGGTCACACTCCCAACTAATGCCTGTGAAGGCCCCACAGCAGCATCACCATAGCGTTGAGGAGCCTGTGGCATTGTGGAGGAAGACGTGTTTTCCTCCACCAGAGCGCGTGCAAGTAGAGCAGCACGGGGGCAGCGGATCGCCCTGGGCTGCACCTGCAGTGGCCGCAAGCTGCTTCCCGCCTCTACGTTCTCCCCTGCCTGTCCTCCTCCTGTTGCTACTCCTGCTCGGGCCGAAGATGCTGCTTCGCCCTGGGTGCCAGCTGGCAGTGCAGGTGCCACATGGACTGCTGATGCCAGCTCAGCTGTTGTCGGCAGGTGCATGCGATGACCGTTTGAAGCTAGTGATGCTTCTGCTGCTGCTGTTGCTACTACTCCTGCTACTCCTGCTGCTGCTCCTGCTATCGCTGATGCTGCTGTTGACCCCCTATGCTGTCCCCGACCATGCTTCATCCCAGCGTCTCTCACTCCCCCCTGCCTCACCTTCTTTCTCCCCATATTACCCTCGCCAGCTCCCATGCTGAAATCCTCTCTCTCTCCCTTCACCTCTCTCTCATCTCTGAATCCCCTCTTCTGCCCCCTCTGCTCTCCTGCTTTAGCAGACCGCTTCTGTTTCCTCTGCACTGCTGCAGTGACCACTATAACCTCCTCCTCCTCCTCCTCCTCCTCCTCCTCCATCTCCTCATTTTCTCCCTCCTCTTTCTCCTCATCCTCCTCCTTCTCCCTCTCCACCCTCTCCTCCTCGTCCTCCTCCTCCTTCTCCTCTTCCTCCTCTTTCTGAAAACATTCCTCCCCCTCTGATTCAAGTTCTAGTTTCCTTCCCTCCTCCTCTCCCTCCTCGTCCTCCTCCTCTCCCTCCTCCTCCCCCTCTGCCCCTTCCACTGACTGTTCCTCGCGTTTCACTCCTCGCCCCATTTCTTCCCCCTCCTCCTCCTCCTCCTCCTCCTCCTCCTCCTCCTCCTCCTCCTCCTCCTCCTCCTCCTCCTCCTCCTCCTCCTCCTCCTCCTCCTCCTCCCCCTCCTCCTCTCTAGAACTCCCCGCCACCCTCACTCTCCCCCTCTCTGCGCTCCTCTCTCCAACTGCCACGCCACTCTGACCACCAACGCCCTGACTCCCACTTGTGCCTCCCAGCATTGATTCTTCTCGTTTCCTTTTCTTGAAAGCAGTCCCAACACGAGCCGCACCAGCGTCAGCAGCAGCAGCAGCAGTGGTGTTGGTTGTGGTGATGGTATTATACCTCCCCTCACCACTACTGGTAGCAGCAGCGCCAGCGTCACCACCAGTGGCAGCAGAAGCAGCAGCGGCAGCATCAGCAGCATCAGGGGCAGCAAGGGAGAGAGAGGGGGAGGAGGAGAGGGGGCGGCGGCGGTTGAACACTTGTGCCTGGCGCCGAGAGATCTCCTTTATGCGCATCTGGAACTGATGGGGAGAAAAGGAGAAAAGGAGGGAGAAAAGGAGGGAAGGAAGGAGGGAGGGAAGGAGGGAGGGAAGGAGGGAGGGAAGGAGGGAGGGAAGGAGGGAGGGAAGAGGGAGGGAAGGAGGGAGGGAAGGAGGGAGGGAAGGAGGGAGGGAAGGAGGGAGGGAAGGAGGGAGGGAAGGAGGGAGGGAAGGAGGGAGGGAAGGAGGGAGGGAAGGAGGGAGGGAAGGAGGGAGGGAAGGAGGGAGGGAAGAGGGAGGTTAGGAGGGAGGGAAGGAGGGAGGGAAGGAGGGAGGGAAGGAGGGAGGGAAGGAGGGAGGGAAAGAGGGAAGGAGGGAGGGAGGGAGGGAGGGAGGGAGGGAGGGAGGGAGGGAGGGAGGGAGGGAGGGAGGGAGGGAGGGAGGGAGGGAGGGAGGGAAGGTACGGAGATTCTCAGTAGTGCCTGGCGGCGAGAGATCTCCTTTATGCGCCTCTGGAACTGATGGGGAGAGAGAAGGGGAGGGAAGTGAGGGAAGGTACAGGGGAGGGGATTTTGAGTCGACTCAGAAGACCTGGGCCTGGCGGTGAGAAATCTCCTTTATGCGCCTCTGGAACTGATGGGCGTAGAGGGTGGGAGGTTGAGAAGGTACCGAGGAAGGGGGTCGTGAGTCGGTTCAGAACACTTGTGCCTGGCAGGCGGCGAGAGATCTCCTTTATGCGTATCAGACACTGATGGTAAGAGAGAGAGGGAGGTAGGGAGGGAGGGAGGGATGGATGGATGGAGTGAGGGAGGGAGAGAGAGGGGGAGGGAAATATATTTATGAGGCGCATTAAAAGTGCGAGGAATCTGTAAAGCCCATAAATAGATAAATGTACATTTCCTTCCTTCTTGCACCTCTGGACTGATGGGCGGAAGGGAAAGACGGACGAAAACGACAGGGATGGGGAGTTTGGAAAGGAAAGGACAGGGAGTGATGGTGGTGGTGGGCGCGGTAAAAGACAAGGATCGAGAACTTGCTTCGGGTAAACAGAAGATTGTTGAGTCGACTCAAAAGACTTTGAGTCGACTCAAGAGTTTGGAAAGGAAAGGACAGGGAGTGGTGGTCGCGGTGAAAGAAAAGGATTGAGAACTTGCTTTGGGTAGAAGGGGGGTGTTTTTGAGACGCCTCAAAAACACCCTCTTTTCACGATAGGAAAGGACAGGGAGTGGTGGTAGTGGTGGTCGCGGTGAAAGACAAGGATCAAGAACTTGCTTCGGGTAGAAAGGGGGTTGGGGGAAGACTTTTGAGGCGCCTCAAAAGTGGTGGTAGTGGTGGTCGCGGTGAAAGACAAGGATCAAGAACTTGCTTTGGGTAGAAAGGGGGTTGGGGGAAGACTTTTGAGGCGCCTCAAAAGTGGTGGTAGTGGTGGTAGTGGTGGTCGCGGTGAAAGACAAGGATCAAGAACTTGCTTCGGGTAAAAGGGGGGTTGGGGGAAGACTTGAGGCGCCTCAAAAGTGGTGGTAGTGGTGGTGGCGGTGAAAGACAAGGATTGAGAACTTGCTTTGGGTAGAAGGGGGATTGGGGGAAGAGAAACGTCGGGGGAAAGGAAAGACAGGAGGACAAAGGAGGGAGAGGTAGAGGACGAGGGAGGGAAGTCAATAGAGAGAAACGACGAAAGGGAATGATGAGCTTACCTCTTCATTGCGCCTGGCCTCCTCTGTGTGCAGTGTCATCTCCTGGATGAAATGAGAGAGGGCAATGAAAAGAGGACGAGAGGGAAAGAGTTGATGGAACAAGGTGTCTTTCTGAATCGAATCAAAAGGAAATCTCTTCAATGCATCCAGCCTCCTCTGTATGCCGTGTCATCTCCTGGATGACAGGGGGGGAGGGAGCGGAATTGGGAGGGGACGGAATTGGGAGGGAGAGCAGGGGAAGGGAAGGGGAGAGAGTTACTGGAAAGAAATATGCTTCTGGGTCGATTTGAAATGCGTCGAAGCGTGGATCGCCCAGAAGTGACCCCCCAGCTACCCCCTCAATCCTCTCCCCTCACCTCCTTCTCGATCCTATCTCAGTTGGGGAACACAGCGGCCACGAGGGCGTCAAAGCGCGGATCGCCCCCCAACACCACCTTCACCTCGTTCATCCCTCAACCCCACCATCCCTCTCACTCACCTCCTTCTCGATCCTGTCGGGTGTTTTTGAGAATTCTAAAAAACACCCCACAGCAGCCACGAGGGCGTCAAAGCGCGGATCGCCCCCCAACACTACCTTACACCTTGTTCATCTCTCAACCCCACCATCCCTCTCACTCACTCATCTCCTTTCTTCTCAATCCTGACCCTGTTGGGGAACACAGCGGCCAATAGGGTGTCAAACCGCGGGTCGGCGCGCAGCGACCGCCTGCTGGTTACCCCCCCTCTCTCCCCCTTCCACTGCACCCCGAGCTGGTTACCCCCCCTCTCCCCCTCCCACCCCACCCCGAGCTGGCTACCCCCCTTCTCTCCCTTCCACCACGAGCCCAGCCCATCTCTCACCTCCTTTCTTCTCGATCCTGCCCCTGTTGGGGAGCACAGCAGCCACAAGGGCGTCAACCCGCAGGACAGCAAGCAGTGACCCCTCGGTTACCCCTTCAATCCTCTCCCCCTCACCTCCTTTCCTTCCAAATCATGCTTATCAAATTGCGGGTCGGCCCGCAACACTACCAGCACATTGTTCACCGCCATGAACCACACCGTACTCCTCCCTCCGTCATAAAAGCAGTGTTTCGAGACGTGTTTTGAGTCGGCTCAGAACAAAGTCGACTTCAAGCACAGTAGTGTTTTGAGACGTCTCAAAACACTACTTTTATCACCGCCATGAACCGCACTGTATTCCTCCCTCCGCTCTCCATTCCCTTCTTCTCTCCCCTTATTGGTCACCTCCTTCTCAATATTGTCTCTGTTGGGGAACACAGCAGCCACGAGGGCATCAAAAGCGCGGGTCAACTCACACCACCCACCACCCTAACCTTGATCACCTCCACTATCCTCCTCCCGTGTGTGATAAGGCGAGTTTTGAGTCGACTCAAAACTCGACCTTGTTCACCTCCACTATCCTCCTCCCCCCCCTTCCCCCCTCCCACCTTCCGTTCTTCTCTCCCTCTCCCCCTCACCTCCTTCTCTATCTTGTCTCTGTTGAGGAACACAGCAGCCACGCGTCAAAGCACGGGACTGATCACAGTGACCCCTAAGTTACCCGCTCATCCTCGCCCCTCACCTCCTTCTCAATCCTGTCTCTGTTGGGGAACACAGCAGCCACCAGCGCATCAAATCGCGGGTCGGCGCGCAGTGACCGCCTGCTGGCGCAGTGCGCGCGGCACGAGGGGCACTCGTTGTTGCTGCATGGAGGTGGGGTGGCGGGGAGAGCGATGGGGTAGTGTGGTACTATTTGTCAAGTCAGCAGACGTGGGTCGGCGCGCAGTGACCGCCTGCTGGCGCAGTGAGGGCGGCACGAGGGGCACTCGTTGTTGCTGCATGCATGGGCGGGGGGGGGGGGGGGAGGGGGGGGAGGAAGGGAGAGAGGGAAGGGGGAGGTGGAGGAGAAGGGCGGTTCTTAACCGTCCATTGAAAGTTACAAAAAAAAAAAAAAAAAACAACTCTCCATGAGCTATAACGAATCAGAGGGATGAAGACAAAGACACCATCTCAACCTTTCCTGCATCTCACCCAACCCTCCACCACCTCACCCAACCCTCCACTTCACCCAAACCTCCACCTCAACCAAACCTCCACCCCACTTCACCCTATTCTCCACCTCACCCAATCCTCCACCTAACCCGACCCTCCACCTCACCCCCGACCCTCCTCCACATCACCTTCGCCTTCGTCCCACCCTTCACCTTAGTCTTAACCTCGCCTTCATCTCACTCCAAACATCATCTCATCCGAGCCTGAATCTAACCCAACCCGACCTAAGCCTAAAGTTCACCCAAGCCTGACCTCCATCACACCCAAACCTGCATCTGAACCGAGCCTCCATCTCACCTGACCTTGTCTAGGCAAGGCCAGGCCTCCATCTGTCCCAAACCTCTACCTCACCCGAGCCTGACCTCCATGTCAACCAAGCCTGACGTCCATCTCACCCGAACCTGACTTGACCTCCACCTCACCCGAGCCAAACCAAACGTCCCTCTCACCCAAGCCGGATGGCTTTGTTGATGCAGTCCCCACAGAAACGGTGCAAGCACTCCATCACCGTGCGCGTCCACCTGATGATACCTGTCTACCATCTCACCCGAACCTGGCATCCATCTCACCCGAACCTGACATCCATCTCACCCGAACCTGACATCCATTTCACCCGAACCTGACATCCATCTCACCCGAACCTGACATCCATCTCACCCGAACCTGGCATCCATTTCACCCAAACCTGACGTTAGCTCACCCGGGCCTGACGTCCTTCGCACCCGAGCCTGACGTGCATCTCACCCGAGCCTGATGGCCTTGTCGATACAGTCCCCACAGAAACGGTGCAAGCACTCCATCACCGTGCGCGTCCGCCTGATGATACCTGTCTACTACCATCTCACCCGAACCTGACATCCATCTCACCCGAACCTGACATCCATCTCACCCGAACCTGACATCCATCTCACCCGAACCTGACGTTAACTCACCCGGGCCTGACGTCCTTCGCACCCGAGCCTGACGTGCATCTCACCCGAGCCTGATGGCCTTGTCGATGCAGTGCCCACAGAAACGGTGCAAGCACTCCATCACCGTGCGCGTCCGCCTGATGATACCTGTCTACTACCATCTCACCCGAACCTGACATCCATCTCACCCGAACCTGACATCCATCTCACCCGAACCTGACGTTAGCTCACCCGGGCCTGACGTCCTTCGCACCCGAGCCTGACGTGCATCTCACCCGAGCCTGATGGCCTTGTCGATGCAGTCCCCACAGAAACGATGCAAGCACTCCATCACCGTGCGCGTCCGCCTGATGATACCTGTCTACTACCATCTCACCCGAACCTGACATCCATCTCACCCGAACCTGACATCCATCTCACCCGAACCTGACATCCATCTCACCCGAACCTGACGTTAACTCACCCGGGCCTGACGTCCTTCGCACCCGAGCCTGACGTGCATCTCACCCGAGCCTGATGGCCTTGTCGATGCAGTCCCCACAGAAACGATGCAAGCACTCCATCACCGTGCGCGTCCGCCTGATGATCCCTGTCGGCCAAAGGGAGACAGCCACGCCACGTCAACCCCGAAACTAAGTTTTTTTTTTTATATTACTTCGAAAACTAAACGTATGGATGACTTGTCCGAGGCGGACAGGACAGGTTGTCGACCTCAGGTTTAGGGTTGTCAACAGGTTGTCGACGTCAGGTTTAGGGTTGTCAACAGGTTGTCGACGTCAGGTTTAGGGTTGTCAACAGGTTGTCGACCTTGCGAGAAGCATATGGCATCACTTCAGCAGAAAAGCTCATCTCTAATTGACATGGCAATCAGACATAAAGGACTGGTTGCTCTCACCAAGGCATATGGGGCACTGTAACTCTTTCCTGATGTCTATTAGTGATATAGAGACCATTCTGGAGGGAGAAAGGATGGGAATGGCAGCCACATTTTAAAAATGGTGGCATTTAGGGGAGATTGGTAGCATTAGGGAAAATGATTGGTAGGATTCAGGAAAATTGGTGGCAACTAGCGGGAAAATGTGTCAATTAGGGTTGATTGGCCGCAGTCTGGGTAAAAAAATAGAGTCATTCGGGACGACAGACGCGTCGCAACAGCAGTGGGAGGAGAGACAGGTGATAATTGGTGGCGGTTAGAAAGAGCGGTCCCTCTCGCGCTAGCAACGCTCATAGTAGGAAAGACTGTGAGCAAATCACTACGGGATTGACGACCAAAAAAAGCGAATTACTCTGTGTTCGACGAAAAAGAATGACAGAATCACGGATTCGCGGAAACGAGCGAAATGCTCGTCGAGTCGCACTGCGCGGAATGAACAAGACTTACTCCTGTGTGTCTGGCGTCGGCCTTTTTGCCGAAACCATGTTGACGGACGATGGCGGCTGTAAGAATGGTATGATGGTGCAGGTGACAGTATTGATGGCGGTGCGGGATAATAGCAGTGGCATCCCTGGAAATATTATGCCGCAAGGGTGGGGTGACACTGTTGCGAACTAGCGATCACTGCGAAATTGAGAATTGCGACAACGCGCCAGTGATTGTTACTACAGTACGGCGAACAGACTGAAGTTCTGTGCTTTGGATTTGACAGCACCCTTCCCCTCACACGTAGCAACTCCCCTCAAGGAGCAGAAGTGCAACGATTTTGGTAACCTAGTGAAAGAGGACATTTTGTTGAACGTCGCCCATAGAAACCTTTCGTTCGCGAACGATGCGATTGGGTCCAGGTACCTTTCGCGATGTCCCCGATGCCGTGATCAGATGGGATCTTCGTCAGCGGTTGGGGGATGGCGTAATCCCCGATATCCGCCAACGAGAGATCCGCGATCTTGTTGTGCTGCAGCTGAGCCTTTATGAGACAGGGACCACGGCCTTCGTCACACTTGTGAAATATTTTATTAATGAAAACCTCCTTTCCACAGGGCTTTCATATGTAGGATGTCATGAAATTAGGTATGAAACAAAACAAGTTTTGCAGACCTTGACCACACCGTAATTACTATCCAAGCGGTTGGGGCACATGAGGTAACATGAGTATGGGGCAGTCTTTAACTCATGTTCCCGAACCATTATCTATCCGCGTAGGAACTCTGTCGCTAATTTTAAACAACTACAGCGTGTGGAAACAGTTTAGCTGTGCTATACCAATACAGTACCTCTCCCTCCCAACAATTCACTCCAGACTGATGAATATCCCACACGGACGAGTTGGTCTTTGGAACACACCCCGCTTGCTTCGTCGTCAGGCAACCATGGCCCGACAAAGTCCCAAGGGAGGACCATTCCTCGAAAATATTTTGACTATTGGACTCACATGAACTGTCTTGTTACTGTAGAACAGCAACAGAATGTCCCATACCGCTAGGTCTTGTGCATCCTTCCAAACCGACCCACCCCTCCATCGCGATTTAGGTCATCCCAGTTTATCTCCGTGTTCTGACTCACCTTTCCAAGTGCCCTCAGCTGTGTGTGGCTTGGCATGTCAGCGCAACTTTGTTGTGTTCTTCTGGTTTTGCTTGTTTTCCACTTGTGTACCATATGCGTCCCCCATCCCGTCACACCGCCTCTGTCCTCCTCAGTCCCAGTTGCTGTTCTTTTGTACAACTGCTGTCAAGGGCGGAGCATTGTCACATGTTGATCTAACAACCCATAAGAGTTTGAAGTATCTACACTTAGTTTAAACCTCAGGCAGTCTTCCATCCACTTGACCCCCTCTTGTCAGAAGGTTAACACTGACTAGGGTCCGGAATGGTTCGCCATGGCTCCCTCAACCGGCATATTCTCCCGCACGAAAGCCTCGCAGCAGCAACAGGAAAAGCAACAGAAACAGCAGAACCAACAGTTGCAGCAGCATCAGGAGGAGCGACAGCAGCGCGCGGCCAAGCGGCCGGCCTCCCCAACAGCCTCTTCGTCCAACGGCGCTCCGGTTAGACCCGGCAGCAGGCCGTATCCACGAATCCCCTCGTTCGCGTCACCGCGCGCTACTGTCACACCCGTTAGTGTCAATGAAGATCAGAGTCTATGCGATACTTTGAGTAACCGTACTAGCACGAATGGTTCTAATAATAGCAGGGTTCTGATTGATTCCGAGTCGGAGGATCGAGTGAGTACAGTCGCCGAAATGTTGATTATGAATTATGTAGAGAGACCGACTGTACTGTCAACGCACACGGTTCGAGATTCAGAGGTCGCCGGGATGTCAACGATGGGGATAGTGGTGGGCCATTCGCACTCGGTGCAGTTCGTGCTGCGGCCCGGCGACGGCGCGATCATCCACGCGAGTAAAGGAGCGGTCAAGGCGCTCGGTTACTCGCGCGACGAGCTGCAATCGGTGGGTCTTCACCTCCGTTTGCCTGGCTATTGCTTTTTATGTTGCAGTTTGTTTGTTTGTTTTTTTCCGTTTCGTTTTTCTTGTGGCGTCCTCGAATGTATGGCATTTGTGACGGTGGCTATGCGTTCGCCGCCATGGCTTTAACATATAGCGAATCCCTCGATTGTTATCGATCACCCAATATTTCAGCGCATATCCTCCCGGTACGTCGTGATTCGACGTGCTCTCCCCCTCCCCCCCCTCCTCTCCCCCACTCCATTCAATTTGTGCGAACCCCAACGTGGTTCTCGATTCATATGGACCGGAATTCTAAAATTTGTGAAACCCGTCAAGGCCCCCCCACCCCCCTTTTTTTCTGCCTTTGTTAGTTTCTTTTTTTGTTTTGCTTGTTTTTTTGTTTGCAAAATAAAACCAGAAGTAGTTCTCCTCATTCCTTTTCCTCCGCGCCCCGAATGCTCCATTTTTCGCCGCGCAGCAACGGCTTTCCACTACCTGCGCCATCCACCCACTATTGAGAGCTGAAGTTGAATTCCCCATCTTCCCCCCTCACCCCACCGCTCACTCCCTTCCCCCCTTCTGCTCCCCTTCCTGTTTTTTTACCGCCTTTCCTCTCCCGCTTCTCATCCCCCCTTCCGCCTTCCCCAGACGTCTCTTCTCCGCCTGGCCGCGCCTTTCCCGCTCAGCGACTGGCGCGCAGTCGTACAGCGCCTAGAGACGGCGCAAATCGACTCCGCCGCGCTCCCCCTCACCCTCACGTGCCCCGCCGCTGCACCCGCCGCCGCTTCCGCCTCGTCCGCCGGGGCTGCTGCTGCTGCGGCAGCGCTTCTAGGTGCGGGGGAAGGCGCATTCGGCGGGGGTTGCGGAGGAGGCGGAGGGGGGGGAAGGGGCGGAGCAGCAGAGAGAGTCCCTTCCGAAGGGGGAAGCATTTCGCAGCGGCATCCTCACCTTTCTGCGCTTTCCGCGCATGTAGGAGAGGCGGATGGAATATCGAAGGGTAAATCAGGCGAATTGTCCGCTCTGGCCTCGTATCCTGGCACCCCCGGAGGCTCGTTCACACTTTCCGGGGGAACTTCCCCATTTAGAGTTTCCAGCCCCACCCCGTCCACCTCGCCGTACGCTTTAGACCCCCTTGCGGCGATGTCTGAATCGGAAGGAGAGGATGGGAAGGGAGTGAGACGGTTCACCAAGCAAAGAACCGCGTCTGGAACGGATATGGGCCGGTTTGGGGGAGGCAGTGATGTGATTTTAACGGGGTTTGACTCAAGTGAAGGAGTAGGAGAGGAAGGGGGAGTGAGGAGTGGAGGGGCAAGAGCAGGTGGTAGTTTCGGTAGTGGCGGTGGTGGTGGTGGTAGAGGGGGAAGAAGTGGACCGATCAGCTCGGAAATTGAGGGGCGTTTCGATGCAATACCCTCATCCCCGTTTTCCACCACCTCGTCATGGGAACCTCCTCCTCCTCCTCCTCCTTCTCTCCCTTCTTCTGTTACTCTCCCTTCGGCTGCCCCCCTTTCTGCTGCTCCTGCTGCTGCTGCTGCTGATCCCCCCCACAGCATTAACACCAGCTCTAGTCTGGTTACCACCACCCCCACCACTGTTACCACCGTCAGTAGTGGCACTGGCAGCAGCGGCAGAGGCATAGGCAGCAGCAGCGGCATAGGGAGTAGCCGCACCAGCTTTACCCGTGCTGATAGTGAACCCCCCAGCAGCCGCTTTCTAGGCAACAGCCTTGCAGGTGGCAGCACTCTTACAGGTGGGGGGGACCACACAGGCAGCAGCTTAACAGGTAGGGGCCACTTGGACAGTGGCCGGACAGGCAGCGGTCACATGGGCAGCGGTCACACAGGCAGCAGCAGTGGCAGTGGCTTCACGGGGTTCAGGGGCGCTTGGTCGGGGAATCTTATAGCGAGTGAGCAGCTGGGGGTGGAGACGGTTGATATGGCGCAGATGGAGCTGCCTGTAGCGGGGATGGCTGGGTTCTGGAGTGAGGAAGAGGGGAGGGCGACTGGGGGGCGTGCGAGAGGGAGTGGGTGGAGCAACAGAGAGGGTGGTGGTGTTGGTGGGGGTGGAGGAGGAGGGAGTGGGGGGAAAGGTTCAGCCGCCCAGGGTTCGGCCGCCCAGGGTTCGGCCGGCCAGGGTTCGGCTGTGCATGAGACACCTGCGTCTCCCTTCGCCTTCCCCTCCATCCACAGCCAAACGATTCAAGGAAACATTTCCTCAAACCCAGAAAGAAATCTTTCGCTTTCAGGGCAGCTTTTAAGAATCCGTAGAAGCGGGTCAGGTATACCTTCCGGGCAGGACAACAGGGTGAAAGAGAAAGACGGCGGTGCGAGGAACGGGGCGAGAGGCGAGGAGGAGGAGGAAGAGGAGGATTCAGCAGCAGCAGCAGCAGCGGCGGCGGCGGCGGCGGGTGCAAGGAGCAGTTTCAGCTTCAACGTGCCTCGTTCCCTCGTGCCTGTGTCTCTCAGCTGGAGTGGCGGCACTGCCACTGCTAAATCCGGTGCTGCCACTGCCCCTGCTGCTCCTGCTTCTACTGCTTCTGCTACTGCTGCCACTGCTGCTGCTGGTGGTGCTACTGCTGCTGGGGCAATGGGGCATGGGAGGGTGGGGAACGGAGGAGCAGGCATGCAGGGAGCAGCGGACGAAGGGGGTAGTTTGAGCTCGGTTCGGATGGGTAAGTGGCGCAGCAAGAGCAGCAGCAGAGCGAGGTCCATGGACGTTACTGATCCTGCTGCTGTGGCCGCTGCTGCTGTGGCAGAGCACCATGCTGAGCTTGCTGCTGCTGGTGGTGATGGTAGTGGTGGTGGTGGTGGTGGTGGTGGTGGTGGTGGTGGTGGTGGTGGTGGTGGCATCAAGAGCAGCAGGAGCAGCAGCAGAGCGGGGTCCATAGATGTGAGTGATCCTGCTGCGGTGGCCGCTGCTGCTGTGGCGACTTTTGAGGCGATTCAAAAGTCTGATCCTGCTGCTGTGGCCGCTGCTGTTGTGGCGGAGCATCAAGCTGAGCTTGCTGCTGCTGCCGCTGCTGGTGATGCTTCTGCTGGTGGCGGTGCTGCTGCTGCTGTAGCTGCTGCTGCTGGCATTGCTGCTGGTGCTGGCTATGCTGCTGGTGCTGCTGATGCCGCTGCTGTTCCTGCTGGTTCTACCACTGGTGGTGCTTCTGGTGCAAGTGCGGGTGCTGCTGGCAATGCTGCTGGCAATGCTGCTAGCAGTGCTGCTGCTAGTGCAGGCGGCAGTGTGACTGGCAAGGGCAAGGCATCCTGGCTCCGCCACATGCTAAGATCCACTTTCGGATCCGTAAAGGCCCCTCCATCCCCTCGCCGCGCTGCTGCTGCTGCCGCCGCTGCTGCTGGTGGTGGTGCTGATGGTGCTGCATCAGGCTCTGGACCCAAATTTGCTGGTAGAACTACTGGTGGGTCTGAGTCTGACAGTGCTTCCAGGGGCAGGAAGAGTGCTGGGTGGAAGAGAGGAGAGGGGCCATGGATAGCAGACGGGGAGAGGAGGCGCAGGAGCGCGAGTGGTGTGGACGTGCAGAGGAGAGCGAGCAAGGAGGGAGAGGAGGAGGGAGAGGAGGGGGGAGTGGAGGAGGGAGAGGGGGAGGGAGAGGGGGAAGAAGCGGGGGCGTTGAGAGGAAGGTCTGTGACAACTGGATCAGCTGGGCTGGTTCGTTCAGACCCTCACTCCTTGTCACTTCGTGACTCTGCTTCGGATGCTGCCGGCGCTGCTGGTGCTGTTGGTGGTTCGGGTGGTGCTGGTGCTGCTGGTGCTGCCAATGGTGCTGGTGCTGCACGTGCCAGCGGTAGCAGGGATTGCAGCTGGGATGGCGGTAGGGGCGACAGTAGGGGAGACAGCAGGGGGGGTAGCAGGGGTGCCAGCAGCAGTAACAGGGAAGACAGTAGGGGGCCTAGCATCAGCAGCAGGGGTGACAGCAGGGGAGACAGCAGGGGGGTGAGCATGAGCAGCAGGGGGGGAAGCTGTGAGATGGTGCACGTGCATGCGGTGGTGGATCTGCAGCTGTTTCACATCGGAGGCTGCTCGGACCTCGTTGCTACTGGTAGGTGTGTGTGTGTGTGCGCGCGCGCGTGTGCGCGCATGTGTGTGTGTGTGTGTGTGTGTGTGTGTCTGTGTGTGTGTGTGTGTGCGCGCGTGCGCACATGTGCGCGTGTGTGTGTGGGGTGTGTGTGTGCGTGTGTGTGTGGGTGGTTGAGTGTGTGTGTGTGTGTGTGTGTTGGGGGAGTTGGTGGGTGAGTGAGTGAGTGAGTGAGTGAGTGAGTGAGTGACTGAGTGAGTGAGTGAGTGAGTGAGAGAGTGAGTGAGTTGTGTAATACGTCTAATGAGTTACCTGAAACCCCAAAGCACATGCCCTGTGTCCCATTCCTCCCGTGTTTCCGCGCGCTTGTTTCTGCGTGTTTTTGTGCCTCTCTGCAGTGCACGTGCCCTCTGCAGTGCATTTGCCTCTCTGCAGTGCATTTGCCTCTCTGCAGTGCATTTGCCTCTCTGCAGTGCATTTGCTCTCTGCAGTGCATTTGCCCTCTGCAGTGCATTTGCCCTCTGCAGTGCATTTGCCCTCTGCAGTGCATTTGCCCTCTGCAGTGCATTTGCCCTCTGCAGTGCATTTGCCTCTCTGCAGTGCATTTGCCCTCTGCAGTGCATTTGCCCTCTGCAGTGCATTTGCCCTCTGCAGTGCATTTGCCTCTCTGCAGTGCATTTGCTCTCTGCAGTGCATTTGCCCTCTGCAGTGCATTTGCCCTCTGCAGTGCATTTGCCCTCTGCAGTGCATTTGCCCTCTGCAGTGCATTTGCCCTCTGCAGTGCATTTGCCTCTCTGCAGTGCATTTGCCCTCTGCAGTGCATTTGCCCTCTGCAGTGCATTTGCCCTCTGCAGTGCATTTGCCCTCTGCAGTGCATTTGCCCTCTGCAGTGCATTTGCCCTCTGCAGTGCATTTGCCCTCTGCAGTGCATTTGCCCTCTGCAGTGCATTTGCCCTCTGCAGTGCATTTGCCCTCTGCAGTGCATTTGCCCTCTGCAGTGCATTTGCCCTCTGCAGTGCATTTGCCCTCTGCAGTGCATTTGCCCTCTGCAGTGCACTTGCCCTCTGCAGTGCATTTGCCCTCTGCAGTGCACTTGCCCTCTGCAGTGCACTTGCCCTCTGCAGTGCATTTGCCCTCTGCAGTGCATTTGCCCTCTGCAGTGCACTTGCCCTCTGCAGTGCATTTGCCCTCTGCAGTGCATTTGCCTCTCTGCAGTGCATTTGCCCTCTGCAGTGCATTTTCCCTCTGCAGTGCATTTGCCCTCTGCAGTGCATTTGCCCTCTGCAGTGCATTTGCCCTCTGCAGTGCATTTGCCCTCTGCAGTGCATTTGCCCTCTGCAGTGCATTTGCCCTCTGCAGTGCATTTGCCCTCTGCAGTGCACTTGCCCTCTGCAGTGCATTTGCCCTCTGCAGTGCACTTGCCCTCTGCAGTGCACTTGCCCTCTGCAGTGCATTTGCCCTCTGCAGTGCATTTGCCCTCTGCAGTGCACTTGCCCTCTGCAGTGCATTTGCCCTCTGCAGTGCACTTGCCCTCTGCAGTGCACTTGCCCTCTGCAGTGCACTTGCCCTCTGCAGTGCACTTGCCCTCTGCAGTGCACTTGCCCTCTGCAGTGCACTTGCCCTCTGCAGTGCACTTGCCCTCTGCAGTGCACTTGCCCTCTGCAGTGCACTTGCCCTCTCCCTACTCCGTACCTCCACCTCGCCCATCATCGGGACAGCTCGTCCCCACAAGATCACCTCAACCGGCCACCTCATTTCTCTTGTCCCCTTTCTCCCGTGCGTTTGTGCGTTTGTGCCCCTCTGCTGCAGTGCACTTGCCCTCTCCCTACTCCGTACCTTCTTCCCGGCCAACATCTGGACAGCTCATCCCCACGAGATCACCACAGGCAACCACCACCCCATTCCCACAACAACAGCACCAGTCACAGCAGACAAGGCAGCAGCAGCAGCAGCAGCAGCAGGCACACACACAAACAGGGACAGCAATGGAGGTGCAGGTATCAGGCACAGCCTATGGTCAATCTCAGCCGATGCCCCTCCAACCTCCATCCGATCTTTTCCTCCATCCCCACCCTCACAACCACTCCCAACCCCACAGCCCTCACTCTCATCCGTATGCTCACCCACACCCTCATCCACACCTCTCAAACAACCTGCAACACCATCAGCAGCAGCAGAAGCAGCATCACATGCAGCATCAGCAGCAATACCTGCAGCTGCAGCCGCTGCAGCAACAACAGCAGCAGCAGCAGCAGCAGGGCATGTCCCAACCGCCTCTTGTTTCGCCCCGTCGCCCTCCTTCCCCTCGTGGTGTGGCACAGCGGCAACAGCACCAGCATCACCAGCAACACCACCAGCAGCGGCATGAGCAGCCACTCTCTCCCACACTCGCTCTCACTTCCCCTCTGTCCTCATCCCTCCCTCTCACTTCGCATATCCCTTCATCATCCCCCCACGGCATATCCTCTTCTCATTCTCTCCCCCCATCGTCCCCTAGACAACCTTCCCAAGCCACATCCCCCCTCCCTCTCCTCACTCCCCAACGTCCCCACCCCTCATCCTCCTCTCCCTCTCCTCTCTCCTCCCCCTTCCCTCTCTCCTCTCCCTCTCCTCACTCCGCCTTACCCCGCCCCACCCACTCCCATCTACCCCTCCAGCCCCCACCCCCCCATCTCCCCCCATCATCCCACCTCATTACAAGAACTTCGTTACAGTCACCTACGCCAAGCTCTCTAACTTGGGAGAGTGCTTCCTCTTATCAAGATGTGCTTACAACGGAGGCTGTGGAGAGGGGCAGGCCTCTTCTCGACCTGGCAGGCATAGGGGCTGTGACTCTAACGGGGGAAGAGGGCAGGGTTACCCTGTGCAACCTGGCGGCCAATAGGATGCTTGCGGGGAGATTCTCGGCCAATGGGGTGGCTCTGGGCGGAGTGCCAGCGTGGCAGGTGGAAGGGCGGGTGCTGAGCGATTTTGTTGATGAGGCATCACGCGGTGCTTTCATGGTGAGTGGAGTGAAGGGGGGGGGGGGGGGGAGGGGGGAATGGGGTTGGGGGGCTTGCTAGTGAGAGAGGGGCGGGTGCTGAGCGATTTTGTTGATGAATCCTCGCGTGCTGCTTTCGTGGTGAGTGGAGTGGGGGAGGTGGCGTGTCGGGGGGTGGAGTTCCGGGAACGAGGCGGGGTGGGTGCTGAGTGATTTCGTTGATGAGGTGATTTCGCGCGGTTCATTCGTGATGAGTGGAGTGTGCGGATGGAAGGCAGGATGCGAGGGAAGTGTGCAGATGGAAGGGCGGTGCTCTGTGACTTTATTGCTGCAGCCTTGTGCTCCCCGCCCTTGCCTCCCCGCCCTGCCGAGTTGGCTTCTGAGTCAACAGGGAAGTGTGAGGTTTGGAAAGGTGTTGCTCTGTAATTTCATTGCCTCTCTGCCTCTCTCTCCCTCTCCCTGCCTCTCTCTCCCTCTCCCTGCCTAGCTCTCCTCTCTCTGCCTCTTGCCCCTCTACTTACCTCTCTCTCGCTCTTCCCGTCTTCCCTTTTCTCTCCCCCCATCAGTGCGACTACACAGCTGTGTGCACGGGCCTATCGCAGCGCTCCCAGCAGGAGGCGCTCCCAGCAGGAGGCGCTCCCAGCAGGAGGCGCTCCCAGCAGGAGGTGCACGGGCCTAGCGCAGCTTTTCTTTCCCTTTTCCTCTCTTCCCCTCCATTACCCTGTCCCCTTCTTTACCCCCATCAGTCTGACTACACAGCTGTGTGCACGGGCCTAGCGCAGCGCTCCCAGCAGGAAGTGCGGGTGAGATCAGCAGACGGGGCCATCTGATGGGTGCGACTCACATGCCACATACCCCTGCCTCCTCACCCTGCCTCGCTCTCCCTCTCCCCTTTTCCCTGCTCCCTTTCATCTCCCCCCACAGTCCGACTACACAGCTGTGTGCACGGGCCTAGCGCAGCGCTCCCAGCAGGAAGTGCGGGTGAGCAGCAGACGGGGCGATCAGATGGGTGCGGCTCACATGCCACCCGCCCCTTGCATCCTCACCTTTCCTCCCTCGCTCCCCCTGTCCCATTCTCTGCCCCATCAGTCTGACTACACCACAGTGTGCACGGGCCTATCGCAGCGCACACAGCAGGAGGCGCGGGTGAGAGCAGCAGACGGGGCGATCAGATGGGTGCGGCTCACATGCCACCGCATCAAATCGAGAGCGGATAGTAAAGCGCCGCAACGCATTAGTTCAGAGGGAGGAGGTGTGCCCCACTGTTACCACGCAACGCCTCACAGCTCTATGAACCCGAATAGTGACGGCGGTGAGCCTTACCGCATCAGAGCAGGCTCACCACCCGTCGTCGCGACGAGTTCGGAGGGTGATTTGCCTCGCAGCGCCGCGATTGCAGAAGTCGGTCCATCACATGGTATCAGAGCAGCAGGCTCACCGTCACCACAGGTCGCACTGAGTTCGGAGGGTGATGCGACTCACAGCACCACCGCAGCAGGCTTGCTGGTCACGAGTACAGATGGTACAGATGGTACAAGTGCGGAGGGTCACCCTTCGGAGGGTGGTAGTGTTACTCCTCCTCACACCGAGCCCACTCGCTGTTCCATTGGTCAAGGGGCAAGTGAGGGGGACGGAGGAGCTGTAGCAGCACAGGATGTAGCAGAAGCGGCTGTAGCAGACGGGGCTGTAGCAGAATTGGCTGTAGGTGGGGAAGTTGCAGCTGAAAATGCTAGAGTTGGGGAGGCTGCAGCTGGGGTTGCTGCAGCTGAGCTGGCGAACGAAGGGAAAGAGGATGGCGGTTTGAATGGATACAGAGGAGAAGGGAGGGGTGTGGTTATTGAGAGACCAGGCGAGGAGGAGGAGGAGGTGGAAAGGAGAGAGGACGGGAAGGAGGAGCGAGAGGAGGAGGAGACACGAGAGGAGGAGCGTAAGGCACAGGAAGAGGAGGACGGGAAGGAGGAGCGGAAAGAGGAAAGGAAAGAGGAGCGAGAGGGGGATGGCGAGGAGGGGGGAGATGAGGAGGAGAAGGTGAGGGAGGTGCAGGTGCTGTGCCTATTGGAGGATATCAGCGACAGGAAGGCACTGGTATGTACGTGGGGTGTGCAAACAAGTATGCTTATAACGGGTATGTGGTGTACCAATGGTGTGGTGTGGGTGGGAGGTGCAGGTGCTGTGTCTACTGGAGGATATCAGCGACAGAAAGGCACTGGTATGTGTGTGGGGTGTGCAAAGAAGAATGCTTATAGTTCCCCCTCTCACTCACGTTCCCTCCTTCCGATCACTTGTTCTCTCACTCTCACGCACCCCCATCAGGAGCAGAGCATGTGGAAGTACAAGATGATGGTGGAGAATCTACCATTCCCTCTCTTACTTGTGTCCCTTTTCTCCTATCACCCGTTCTCTCCCCCTCTTCCTGCCTCACCCCCCCATCAGGAGCAGGAGGTGCTCATCAACTCCACCGCCGCCCACCTTCTCACGCCCCCTCTCTCCCCCTCTCTTGCTCTATCGCTCTCTCTCCTTCCCTCTCACCCCTCAACAGGAGCAGAGCATGTGGAAGTACAAGATGATGGTGGAGAATCTACCAGGCGGCGCTGTCTTAATGACCAGAGCACTGGACGGCCGACAGGAGGTGCTCATCAACTCTACTGCTGCTCACCTGCTGGGGTGCGCCCGCGGGGACATTGACAGCGTGGAGAAGTGGTTCCGGGCGCTGTATGGGCGGGAGAATGCGGCGAAAGCGCAGAGGAAGTACGAGGGGAGAAGGATGGGCGCTGCGCGGAACAACGTTTTCAATACTGTGCTGCCCATTCGGGTGCGTATTTACGTGGGTTGGGGAAGGGAGGAAAGGAAGTGAGGGGAGGGAGGGAGGGAGGGGGGGAACGGGGGGCAGGGGCAGCAACTCCCCTGCTGCTCACCTGCTAGGGTGCGCGCGCGGGGACATTGACAGCGTGGAGAAGTGGTTCCGGGCGCTGTATGGAAGGGAGAATGCGGCGAAAGCGCAGAGGAAATATGAGGGACGGAGGATGGGGGCTGCAAGGAACAAAGTGTTCAACACCGTGCTGCCAATTCGGGTGCGTCCCACTCTCTCTGTCTCCGCACATCCAGGTGCGTGCCAAGGCTGAGTTGGGGGGAAGGGAGGATGGGGGCTGCACGGAACAATGTATTCAACACCGTGCTGCCCATTTGGGTGCGTACTTGGGTTTGGGTAGGGGGAGGGAGGGAAGGAAAGGAGGGAGGGGGGGCATGGGCATGGCTCGTCAACAACATCACAGTAGGCATGAGCAAACCGCGGTTCGGTTTGGTGCGGTTCGCTTCGTATTTTCCGAACCGAAGCGGTTTTTTTGGCTTCCGGTTCGTCAACGAACTGGTTCGTGCGGTTCGTTTGCGACACATTCCCGAGCTGCGACAAGCCGACGTTGGTCCTGCAAAGATAATCCAAAAAACAAATTGTTGGAGCTCATTTCGAGCTTTAACTCTGTCATTGTCTCACATTCGTGCGTTTCCTATGGTTCTTTCTTAGTTTTCAGCTGGTAGGACCATATTGAAAGTTCACTGGAGAAACGAACCGCTTCGGTTCGGTACCGAACTGGGCTGGTTCAGCCAAACCAATTCGGCTAGTTAGTTAATATAGTGAACCACGAACCGGCACCTTGCAAAACCGGTTCGTGAACGAACCAGTTCGGTTTGGTACCTGTACATGGTTTGATTTGACAGGGCTAGGACATCACAAATAGCCGAAAGAACATCTTGTGTCCCTCCTCTCTTCCCCCACATGGTCGCACACACCCATCCCTGCAGAGCAAGGACGGCTCCAAGTTGCTGCTGGACGCCACGTCCTACTCACTGGGTTTAGGGGACATGTGGCTCTGTCAGTGACATCGCAGAGAGGCACAGAGAACTTGTCTCCCTCTCGAATGGTCCTTTCATCAATTAGAACTTGTAGGACAAAGAGCTTGTCTCCCTCTCTCTCTTCCCCACACCCACCCACCCCACCCATTCACCCACCCCTCGATCCCCCACACCCATCCCGGCAGCGCAAGGACGGGTCGAAGTTGCTGTTAGATGCCACGTCCTACTCGCTGGGCTTTGGGGACATGTGTCCCCAACATGGCATCGTGAACGGCATCACAGAGAGCTGCAGTACCAGCCTCTTTCCCTCTCTTACCCCATACCCACCCCATACCTACCAACCCCTCCCTTCTGCAGCGCAAGGACGGATCCAAGCTGCTGCTGGATGCCACATCCTACTCGCTGGGCTTTGGCGATATGTGGCTGGTGAATGACATCACAGAGAGTCGCAAGAACCAGTTCAAGTTCAAAATGCTCTTTGAGCTCTCCTCCGTGAGTCTCATGGTGCCTGTAACTGGTGCTCTGTTGCTGCTAGTTGACTTCTCTCTTCCACTGTGAGTGCTTTCCTCCTTAGAGAGCCGCAAGAACCAGTTCAAGTTCAAGATGCTCTTTGAGCTCTCGTCCGTGAGTTTCCTGGTGTTGGTACCTACCTGGTGCTCTGGCGTATTTTTCTTTTAGGCGCCTTTTGAGTCGACTCAAAAGTCACTCCGTGAGTTTCCTGGTGTTGGTACCTGGTGCTCTGGTGTGATTTTTTGTTTTCGGCGCCTCAAATGTCCTCCGTGAGTTTACTGGTGTTGGTAGTAGCTGCTGCTCCGGTGTGTAGTCTGCTCCCCTCTGTGAATGATCGTCTCTCAGTAGCTGCTCTCCTTGGTGAGGCTGCTGGTTGTGTGCCTAGGTGAGTGCTCATATCATATGTCCTCGATGATTGCTCTCCTAACTTTTGAGACGTCTCAAAAGATGATTGCTCTTCTAACTCCCGGCAGGACCCCAAGCTACTCGTTACAAAGGACGGCCGCGTGTCTGACCGCGCCCCCTCATCTCCCCCTCCCCCAACCCCCTTTTCTTTCCCATCCCCTTTCCTCAGTCCCCGGCAGGACCCCAAGCTACTCCTAACGAAGGCGGGGCGCATTTTTGACTGCAACCAAGCAGCAGTGCGGATCCTCAAGTGCCCCACCAAGGAATCCCTTCCCGGCCGCAGCACGCGCTAGCGCCTCCGGCCGCCTCCTATCACCCCTTTAACCGCCCCTCCGCTTCAGAACACCCCCACCCAGGCTTCTCCCCTTCCCCTTACCATTCACCTTCCCCCTCCCCTCGCTTAATCCCGGCAGGACCCCAAGCTACTCCTGACCAAGGACGGGCGCATGTTTGACTGCAACCAGGCGGCAGTGAGAATCCTCAAGTGCCCCACCAAGGAGTCCCTTCTCGGTCGCACGCCGTGGCGCCTCTTGCCTTGCCTCCTCCAACCAGCCCTCTGAGCGCCTCACAGCCCCGGAAAACTCCCACCTAGGCTTCTCACCTTCCGCTGCCCCGTACTTTTCCCTTCCCCCTATCCCCTCCCTACCTGCAGGACCCGAAACTACTCTTAACAAAGGACGGCCGCGTGTTTGACTGCAACCAGGCGGCAGTGAGAATCCTCAAGTGCCCCACCAAGGAGTCGCTCCTCGGTCGCACGCCCTGGCGCCTCCAGCCGCCTCCTATCACCCCTTTAACCGCCCCTCCGCTTCAGAACACCCCCACCCAGGCTTCTCACCTTCCCCTTACCATTCACCTTCCCCCTCCCCTCGCTTAATCCCGGCAGGACCCCAAGCTACTGCTAACAAAGGACGGGCGCGTGCTTGACTGCAACCAGGCGGCAGTGAGGATCCTCAAGTGCCCCACCAAGGAGTCCCTCCTCGGCCGCATGCCGTGGCGCCTCTTGCCTTACCTCCTCCAACCAGCCCTCTGAGCGCCTCACAGCCCCGGAAAACTCCCACCTAGGCTTCTCACCTTCCGCTGCCCCTTACTTTTCCCTTCCCCCTATCCCCTCCCTACCTGCAGGACCCGAAACTACTCTTAACCTACGTTGCTAAATACGAGTACCGAGTATAATACGTTAGCGTATTATACGCTTGGTATATACGCGGTACGCCAAGGCTGGCGTACTGCTGATACGCAAAAATACGCTGGCGGGCAGCTAAAACTTTTTTTCCCGGGCAGGTATAAAAAAACCTGTTTCAGGGGGGGGGTTCAGGCCGACAACAACACATGTCAATATTTTATTTCATAAATATCCAGAAATACATAGTCCCTCTTCGGGGGAACATACCCCGGTCCCGCGCGCGCAAAGCACTGGACCGCGTAGCGGAAGACCGGATCATCCACGATGCGCTCTGGAAGCTTCAGCGCCGAGATCATTAGGCAAAGCGCGTTATCCGCGTCCTCCTTGGCGCACGTTGCCTCGTCGCCGAAGAATTCTGTTATCTTCCCCTTCTTCTCCGCACAAGCAGTGACCGCGCCCAGCACGGAGTCGAGTGCTGTAGCAGCCGCCCCTCGTTTCATGCTCTTGTTTTCCTCCTTGTTTTCGTACATGGCACGCACTTCTTCACGGACTTTCGGGGACACGTCCTTGCAAAGCCTGACAGGGCGTCCATCTTGCCCTTTCCATTTGGCGAGGTGAACTGCTCAGCGAGTGGTTCCGCCCTCAAACTTGAAGCCACAAAACTTACAAAGCTTGGGATTGCCTTTGGTGTGGGGGGGAATAAGAAAATGTTTCAGAATGGGGTTCGAAAGGCCAGCCTCAACAGGCTGCGTGTTGATCGCACTACTAGACGCTTGAACAGAAGCTACATTGCTCGTCGCGCTAGGAGGGGTGGAGTTCGACGCCATGGGGCGCGACTAAGGAACGGTAAACTGCTTGAGGAAAACGGGAGATCAGAGCTCGGGAATGAAATTGAGGAGGAGAGAAACGAATGAAGGATACGAAGGCGTCAACGAGTAAATGCTCACATGACGTGCTGGACATTTGAGAGGGGTGGTTGGATATGCGAGGTTTGGTGGGGTGGTGTGTGGTTGGGGTGGTGGGAGGTTTGGATTCTGAAATTTGAATTTCAGACGTGGGTTGGGCGATGTGCTTGGTCGCGTAACCAGTCGCGAAGCCCTAATAACCGTCGCAAATTTTTTTCAATTTCGATTTTTTTTTTCGCCGGGCTGCCCGCGCGTTTTTTCACGAATTCGAAGCGTATTAGCGTACCACGTACGTACGCAATCGTATATACGTGGTACGCCACCCTACCCAGAGCGTATTTGGCAACGTAGCTCTTAACAAAGGACGGGCGCGTGTTTGACTGCAACCAGGCGGCAGTGAGGATCCTCAAGTGCCCCACCAAGGAGTCGCTTCTCGGTCGCACGCTGTGGCGCCTCTCGCCTCTCCAGCAGCCCACCACCAAGCAACCGTCCGGGCCTCCCTGCCGCCTCCAGCCAGCCGTCCAACCGGCCCTCCACTCCACCCTGAGAAATCCCCACCCAGGCCTCTCACCCTCCCCTTCTCATTCCCCTTACCCGTTTCCTCCCCCTCCGCTTTCCCCTTCCCCTGCCGTCCCCCTCAACCCTGGCAGGACCCCAAGCTACTGCTAACAAAGGACGGGCGCGTGTTTGACTGCAACCAGGCGGCAGTGAGAATCCTCAAGTGCCCCACCAAGGAGTCCCTCCTCGGCCGCACGCCCTGGCGCCTCTCGCCCCTCCAGCAGCCCACCACCAAGCAGCCTGCCTCCGCTCTTAAAGCCATTCTCGCCCACCTCGCTGCCTCCAACCAGCCCTCCAACCGATCCTCAGGCTCGGGAAACTTCTATCCGGGCCTCTCCGGTTCGTCGTCACCGTTTCCTGCCACCCCTGCCGCCACCGCTGCTGCTGCCTCCGGCTCGGCGGGTGGTTCGGCAGGAGTCTCGGCAGGAGGCTCGGCGGGAGGCTCGGCAGCAGCAGACGCAACCAGTGGCCTGGCGGGAGACTCGGTGGGAGGCACGGGGAACAGGTGGCGGCGATTCGAGTGGGTCTTCCGGGACGAAGAGGGAGGAGAAGTGCTGGTCGAGGTCCTCTGCCGCATGGTCGAATTTTTCGGGGAAAACGTCTATCTCATGGTGTGGCACGACATAGCCGAGGTGAAGCGGAAGGAGGCGGACTTGCAGCGGGCGAAGCTCGAAGCAGAAAAAGCCAGCCTGGCGAAGACCCAGTTCCTGGCGAATATGAGCCATGAGATTCGGACCCCGATGAACGGCGTGATCGGGGTCGCGGAGCTGTTACTGGATACGCCCTTGTCGGAGGAGCAGCAGATGCTGGTGAACACGATCCGGTCGTCGAGCCAGGGGTTGCTGCATATCCTGTCGGACATTTTGGATCTGAGCAAGATTGAGAATGAACGGATGGCGCTGGAGTTTGCAGAGTTTGACGTGAGGGAGCACCTTGCGCACTCGCTGGCGCTCTATGAAGTTTCTGCAAGAGACAAGAAGCTGCAGGTGAGAGTGTGAGAGGGATGGAAGAAGGTGCAGGTGTTTCAAGGCATGTCGGTGAGAGTGTGAGAGGGATGGGAGAAGGTGCAGGTGTTTCAAGGCATGTCAGTGAGTCAGATTGGACCTGTGCAAGATTGAGAATGAACGGATGGCGCTGGAGTTTGCAGAGTTTGACGTGAGGGAGCACCTTGCGCACTCTCTGGCGCTCTATGAGGTGTGTGCCCGGGATAAGAAGCTGCAGGTGAGAGGAGTGAGAAGCGAGAGAGGAGAAGGTACCATGCGAGATAGATTTTAGCAGGCGCGATGAGGGTTCCATCAGGCGCAGTGAGGTTTTAGCAACCTCCCTGTTACCCCCCCCCATTCACCTCAACTGCTTTGTTTGTTTTGTTCCCCATCTCCCCCCTTTCCCTCTCTCCCCCCTTTCCCTCTCTCCCCTTTCCCTCTCTCCCCCCTTTCCCTCTCTCCCCCCTTTCCCTCTCTCCCCCCTTTCCCTCTCTCTCCCCTTTCCCTCTCTCCCCCCTTTCCCTCTCTCCCCGCTTTCCCTCTCTCCCCCCTTCCTCTCTCTCCCCCCTTCCCCTCTCTCCCCCCTTTCCCTCTCTCCCCCCTTTCCCTCTCTCCCCCCTTTCCCTCTCTCCACCCCTTCCCTCTCTCCACCCCTTCCCTCTCTCCACCCCTTCCCTCCCTCCACCCCTTCCCTCTCTCCACCCCTTCCCTCTCTCCGCCCCTTCCCTTTCGGCCGCCTTCCCTCCCTGCCTCCCCGTCACAGCTCAAGTCCCACGTGAGTCGCGACGTGCCGCTAAAAATCCTAGCAGACGCAGTGAGGGTGAGACAGGTTTTTCTCAACCTCGTTTCCAACGCCATCAAGTTCACCGCCCGCGGCCGCGTCACCGTGCGAATCTCCACCGTCGATCCCGCCGACTCGGGCGGCAGTGGCGGCGGGCGGCGGCGCGAGTCGTTCTCGTCCCTAGCGCCGCTGCTGCAGCTGGAGGAGAGGCGGGGGGAGCCTGTGGATAAAGTCCTGCTCAAGTATTCAGTGTCAGACACGGGAATCGGAATCTCCAAGGACGTGCAGGGGAGTCTCTTCCAGGCGTTCACACAGGTACATACAGGGGGGTTAAGGGGGTTGGGTAAGGGGGGTAAGGGAGGAGGAGCAAGCAAGCATGTGCTATAGATGCATCTGGAGGAGAGGCGGGGGGAGCCCGTGGATAAAGTCCTGCTCGAGTATTCAGTGTCAGACACGGGAATCGGAATCTCCAAGGACGTTCAGGGGAGCTTGTTCCAGGCATTCACACAGGTATGGTACGGGCGGGGTTAAGAGGGAGGGAGGAGAGTGCTCGCGTGTGCTATAGGTGCTGCTGGAGGAGAAGACTTTTGAGTCGACTCAAAAGTCACTACGGGAGGGGGGGAGAGGGAGGGAGGAGAGTGCTCGCGTGTGCTATAGGTGCAGCTGGAGGAGAAGCGGGGCGAGCGTGTGGGTAAGGTTCTAAGTATTCAGTTTCGGATACTGGTATTGGGATTTCCAAGGATGTCCAAGGGAGCTTGTTTCAGGCATTCACACATGTAAGGAGGAGTAAGGTGAGGGGGCATGCACTCGGGGGGGAGGGGGAAGGGAACGAGCGTGCTTGCATGCACGGTAGATGCAGCTGGGGGAGAGGCAGGGAGAGACAGGGAGAGGCAGGGAGAGATGGATACAGGCACCGATTCTTGAGACGTCTTTTGAGACGTCTCAAAAGTCAGCTGGGGGAGAGGCAGGGAGAGATGGATACAGGCACCGATTCTTGAGACGTCTTTTGAGACGTCTCAAAAGTCAGCTGGGGGAGAGGCAGGGAGAGATGGATACAGGCACCGATTCTTGAGACGTCTTTTGAGACGTCTCAAAAGTCAGCTGGGGGAGAGGCAGGGAGAGATGGATACAGGCACCGATTCTTGAGACGTCTTTTGAGACGTCTCAAAAGTCAGCTGGGGGAGAGGCAGTGAGAGATGGATACAGGCAACAGTTTTTTTCCCCTTCCCCCTCGCCAGATGAATGGTGAGTGCAAGAATGAGACGTAACAACACTCCTCTCCCCACCACCTGCCCCTTTCCACTCCACTCGTCGTCCCTCCCCCTGTTTACCAGGCGGACAACACCACGTGTCGGCGGTTCGGCGGCACAGGGCGGGGGCTGGCGATATGCAAGGCGCTGGTGAACCTCATGGGTGAGGCATGACACTACTTCCCTTCCCCATTCCCCTCTTACATTCCCCTCTTACATTCCCTTCCCCATTCCCCTCGTACATTCCCCTCTTCCCTTCCCCATCAGGCGGACAACACCACGTGTTGTCGGTTCGGCGGCACAGGGCTGGGCTGGCGATATGCAAGGCGCTGGTGAACCTCATGGGGGGGGAGATCTCTGTGACCAGTACTAAGGGGCAGGGCTCCACCTTTGAGTTCACCGTGTGTGCTCTCCCTCTCCCCCGTACCCTGTTTCCCAGGCGGACAACACGACCTGTCGGCGGTTCGGCGGCACGGGGCTGGGCCTGGCGATTTGCAAGGCTCTGGTGAACCTCATGGGGGGCGAGATGAGTCATAGCACTGCTGCTCCGCTTCCTTCCTTCCATTCCCCATTCCCCAGGCCGACAACACCACGTGCAGGCGGTTTGGCGGCACGGGGCTGGGCTTGGCGATCTGCAAGGCGCTGGTGAACCTCATGGGGGGGGAGATCTCTGTCTCCAGTGTGGAGGGGCAGGGATCCACCTTTGAGTTCACCGTCTGTGCGGGAGTGAGTGAGGACGTGGGCCAGTGTGGGTCAGTGAGTGAGGAGGGAGACGGGGAGGAGGATGAGGGAGTGTATGATAGTGTGTGTGAGAGTGAGGATGAGGAGGAGGGAGTGGGGGAGACAGATGAGGAGGGGCATGAGGAGGAGGAAGAGGAGGGGGAGGAGGAGGAGAATGGGGATTCAGGTTCGGAAGATGATGAACCGGAGAACTTCTCTCGCTCGCGGACCACCCGAACCTCCCTGGATTACCGAGCCTTGACTGTCCGAGGCTCCTTAGGCCTCCCGGTCCGCAGCCGAACCGCCGACTCAGCAATGGGTGCAGGTTCGCGCCGTCTGGCCCTCACCATACCAGCCACAGGTTCGGAAAAGAGCAGAAGCAAGAACAAGTTAAAAGGTGCAATTAAGGGAGGAGCCCAAGTCTCGTCAGGTTCGGACCAGACGTCCAGCCGAGGTACGGCAAGCGCCGGACCATTTTCCCCCACCACAATCGCCCAGGCCAACGCTTCTGGTGCGTACGGAATTGCCAAAGCTGCTGCCGGAGCTGCAGGTTCGGCAACCAGCCTCGGAACCACTAGCGGCCGAAGCATAGCTGGTGGGCGGCATCGCTCGTTTGAAGAAGCAACGCCAGTGCTGCCGGCTGTAGCGCGGCAGTGGAGAGTGCTTGTAGCAGAAGACAACAAAGTCAACCAGTTAGTGGTAACCCGCATGCTCAAGAATCTAGGGCTCAGATTCGACGTCGTGGACAACGGGTTGCAAGCTTTGGAAGCTTGTCTTAAGAGTAGATACGATTTGGTTCTGATGGATTGCCATATGCCGGAAATGGATGGGTTGGAGGCTACTAGGAGGATTAGGAAGGCCGAGGCAGAGAGGAGTTGTCGGAGTGAGGGGGATAGCCGTAGTGATTGTAGTGATGGTGAGAGCAATGAGAGACGGAGGAGGGAAGATGGGGATGCGGGTGCTACTGGTGCAGCAGCTGCTGCTGCTGGTGCTGCAGTGGCGGTGGGTGATGGGTTGAGTAGGAGTGGCAGAAGCAACAGGAGCAGTGGTGGTGCTGGTGGTATGAGCAGGAGTGGCAGTTCTAAGAGAGCAGGGAATGCTGGTGGAGTGAGCAGGCGGGATAGCGGAAGGGGCAGTGGTAGGTTTAGTGTGGTGGAGAACGGCAAAGATGGAGGGTTGGGGGAGCAGGAGCAGCAGGAGGGAGAGCAGGCGCCGGTGGTGATAGCGGCGCTGACAGCGAGTGCGTTTGACTTTGAGAGAGAGGCGTGCTTTGCTGCGGGCATGGACCACTTCCTCACCAAACCCATCCGCCCCAAAGACCTGCAGCAGCTGCTGCTCTCCCTCGCCACACCCTCTTGATGCTCTGCACAACTTGAAACTCAGGGAAAAGGGGGCGAAGCAGCAGGAGGGGGAGCAGCAGGAGGGGGAGCAGCAGGAGGGGGAGCAGAGGCGTGCTTTGCTGCGGGCATGGACCATTTCCTCACCAAGCCCATCCGCCCCAAAGACCTGCAGCAGCTCCTGCTCTCCCTTGCCACTTCCCCGCCAAAGGCATGAGCTGGTCGCGTGAGATATGGACCTGTTCTTTTTGGAACGAGCGGGCAGTCACAAGCTTCTTGCTCCATGGTGCACACTTTTTGGTCGACTGAAAAGTCCATCTCTTTTTTAAGGTGGTGTGTGCATCGTGCCAACACTGGCAAAATCCCTTGCTCTGCTCGTCACGTCACACACGCCTGCGTGACACGTGGCGTGCTTTCAGACTAGTTTTCCCATGCCATGCCACATGGCGTTCGTGCCATGTGGCGTTTTTTATGGCCACTCTCCCACGATACGATACCACTGGTGGTGATTGGCTGGCGAGTTATAATGTGGGTGGCATGGTGTAGAGCTACTGAATGATGCATGCGGGAGCAACTGTAGCGCCACTCAGCGATAGCAGCAGGGCAGCGCAGAAGCAAAGCAGTAGACCTGTGTTTTTAAACAGCAACTACACTAGCAACCCCAGGTGTTTTAGGGACAGTAGTGGTAGTGGAGTTGTACAGTTTGTGTGCTGCTCGGTTTTGTAGGTCAGCTGTGTGCAAAGGTGTTTGAACCTGTGTTTTTGTGTGCATGCTGCATGCACTTGGCTGTTAGCGAAGTATTTCTAGTTTACTTGACTGTCCAATCATGTCGGCCTTGGAAGTTGATATGTTTGGATTGTTGATTTGTACCTATTTCTGTTGAAGTTTGTGTATAGAGGCTCTCAGATTTTGACATGTGGTGTAGTTAACTCCTCTGACGCGACTAGACGGCTGTCAGAGACTCTTGTACCTTTTCGCGCGCGATTTGCAACAGTCGGACCGCGTACTGTTTCCGTTTCTGCGAGCCTGTCTGCCTGACTCCGCTGCGCGTCCATGTTGCACTGAATTCTGCATCCAGCAAGAACGACGACTTCCGTCCGTCGCCGTCATCGCTGTGTTTTGATGCTCATAACCAGCTCGCGCCGCGTTTGTCTCATCTGGCACTCCATTCAAGATGCACTCCTTCCCATGCTTTCATACCGTACTAAACCATACCACAGCACGCTAATTCTCCCTTGAAGTTGTCTACTCGCCAGATCCGATGATGTCCAGGGAACATGACGGTGATGCTTTATTGTCCATGAGCCTTCATCTGGTTCTCCGATCATCTCCTTCTCGACCCATTGATGTGTTAGGAGCTTGCATATCTTCGATTATGACAGCACCAGACCACCTCGCCTTTTCATACACCGTAGGACCGCGTTCTTTCATCAACTTTATTGAATAAAGTGCCCGACTGCTTGTCGTGACTTAGTTAGGTGAGCTAACTGTATTTGCTTCGTAAACCCTTGACCAATAGAAGCTTGACGAGCTGCCTATGCCACAACGAGGCACTTGGACCCTAAACTGGAAAGCTTCTCTGGTCAGGAACCGATCGAAACCTTCTGCTATCATGGCGTCATACCGATATCATTCACATCAGTCACTCTCACGATATCAACAAAAAACAAATCCGTCTCTCTTCGCAGTAACAGTAGTGTTCTTAGTGCTCACCTTCTCGCCTGTTAGTTTAGCCACCGGAAATGTAGGTAGCAGATCGAAGCCGGTATCGGAGTGCTTCACTGGCTACGAAAAAGGATCGAGTCATGGCCGACTGGATCACGTTAAGGTGTTCGGTCCTGGCGTCAAGCCATCCGTGAAGCTCAACCAGCAACTCTGTTTCAACATCGCTGCAGAGGTACACTACTTCTTTGCTTGTTACTGCTAATTCGATTCAGATCACAAATATTCGTCAGCGTATTGATCATCATGGAGGTTCCTTACATGAAGGTTGAACGTCATTTCATGGAATCCGTTATTTTTTCAGCATCAGTCATTTCCTGGGCTGGTACTCAGCCAGCGTCTCTATTATCATGACACTTCCTTATACGTAATTACTAGTGATGATGCATCATAGCATTTCGTTATTGTCTGACCTACTGGAACCAGATTCATCCAGCTATTGTCACGTCAGGCAAACCCGACGTGAACATTCTCACGTCAAGACGCGAAACCAGCTTCGAAGCCCACTCGCTCCGCACTTTTTTTTGTATTAGCAAAATTCCACTCCTTCTGATCCAGAAAAAAACATCGCTCCCATTCTGTCTCTCTATAACTGTAGGATTCAGAGGGCCGTCGGCTGGACAAGGGGTGCTCACCGCCGACCAGCACGTGGGAGGTGCTCCTTCACTCCGCGGACGGCCGAATCCGACTCAGCGCGCCCATCACGCATGCCGCAAACGAGGGGTACCACGTGGTGCGTGTGTGCGTGGATTTTGGGACCGGTCATGGTATGCTGTGTCCCCCACATATATAGTCAAATAAATAGTCACCACCTTGTTTTAGGACCTTGATCTGACTTTGATCAGACTTTGATCAGACTTTGATCAGACTTTGATCAGACTTTGATCAGACTTTGATCTGACTTTGATCTGACTTTGATCTGACTTTGATCTGACTTTGATCTGACTTTGATCTGACTTTGATCTGACTTTGATCTGACTTTGATCTGACTTTGATCTGACTTTGATCAGACTTTGATCAGACTTTGATCAGACTTTGATCTGACTTTGATCAGACTTTGATCTGACTTTGATCTGACTTTGATCTGACTTTGATCTGACTTTGATCTGACTTTGATCTGACTTTGATCTGACTTTGATCTGACTTTGATCAGACTTTGATCTGACTTTGATCTGACTTTGATCTGACTTTGATCTGACTTTGATCAGACTTTGATCTGACTTTGATCTGACTTTGATCTGACTTTGATCAGACTTTGATCTGACTTTGATCTGACTTTGATCTGACTTTGATCAGACTTTGATCAGACTTTGATCAGACTTTGATCAGACTTTGATCTGACTTTGATCAGACTTTGATCTGACTTTGATCTGACTTTGATCAGACTTTGATCTGACTTTGATCAGACTTTGATCTGACTTTGATCAGACTTTGATCTGACTTTGATCAGACTTTGATCAGACTTTGATCTGACTTTGATCTGACTTTGATCTGACTTTGATCAGACTTTGATCTGACTTTGATCTGACTTTGATCAGACTTTGATCTGACTTTGATCAGACTTTGATCAGACTTTGATCAGACTTTGATCTGACTTTGATCAGACTTTGATCTGACTTTGATCTGACTTTGATCTGACTTTGATCTGACTTTGATCAGACTTTGATCAGACTTTGATCAGACTTTGATCAGACTTTGATCAGACTTTGATCAGACTTTGATCAGACTTTGATCAGACTTTGATCTGACTTTGATCAGACTTTGATCAGACTTTGATCAGACTTTGATCAGACTTTGATCAGACTTTGATCAGACTTTGATCAGACTTTGATCAGACTTTGATCAGACTTTGATCAGACTTTGATCAGACTTTGATCAGACTTTGATCAGACTTTGATCTGACTTTGATCAGACTTTGATCAGACTTTGATCTGACTTTGATCTGACTTTGATCTGTTCGTAGTCTGACTTGCACCGTCTGACATACAGTCTGACCTATAGCCCGTTTGGGCTCAAAATCCCTGCACGTCCTCACTCCCTCCTGTGCCACCAGTCGTACTATCGTCTATTGGAGCCAGGCGAGTACGTGGTGTCCGTGTACCTCACGGGCGTGCATGCCTCCTCACTCACTTCCACCCGTCGTTCCTCCCACCCTATTCCCTTTGCCCACCACCAGTCATGCTACCGGCTGCTGGAGCCAGGCGAGTACGTGCTTTCTGTGTATCTCACGGGCGTGCATGCCGCCTCGCTGACGGGCAGCAGGGACGAGGAAAAGGCCCTGAAGCACCTCAAGTTCCAGCTAGTCGGCCAGTACAACGTGTCTGCGCAGGTGGGGGGTGTGATGGTGTCTGCACAAGTGGACGGTATGCTGTTGCGTGCCCATGTAGAGGGCTTCTTTAGACCCTTCAAACGACGAGGAGAAGGCCCTGATGCACCCCAATCTCCAGCTAGTCGGCCAGTACAACGTGTCTGCGCAGGTAGGGGGTGATTTCGAGTTGATTCAAAGGATGTATAAACTCGATTACGCTCGCCTGCATGCGTCACCTGCCAGCTTTCAGCGCGCAGGTGCTGGAGGAATCGATTCAAAGAACATTAGTCTTTTCCGCTGTGTGTGCATGCAGCTTTCAGACCCAGGGGCGTACAAGGAGTACGCTCGCCTGCAGGGCACTGCCAGCCTGCACGGCACAGGTGCTGGAGGAAACAACTTAAAGCACACTTGCTTTTCCGCTGTGTGTGTGTGCAGCCGTCAGACCCGGAGGCGTACAAGAAGGAGTATGCGCGCCTGCAGGCTGCGCTACCAGGCTGCACGGCACAGGTGCTGGAGGAATCGCGGAACGCAGGGCGGTGGATTGACCAGCAATGGTTCCCCTTCGCCTGCAATGTTCAACGGATCACCCCCGGGTAAGATCGCTTGCGTGTAGCTCAGTAAGAGGATTCTCAAAATATGTTTCCGCAAAGATAATTACTGGTAGGTTGCGACACCTGAAGCCTCGATGGCGCAGTCGGTAGCGCGTAGGTCTCATAGCATTCCGACTCTCACTCTGCTGGGCGGAGCCATCCTAAGGTCGTGAGTTCGATCCTCACTCGGGGCAATTGTTTTGCTTGGTTATCATATTTCCTCGCGTAGTTTCTGGACGTGTCTGAAGACTGTCCCTTGCATCTGGCCAAACCTTATGCCAGGTGAAATCGTTACAGAACAGAGCCTGCACATAACTAAATGTGTGCTTGTGGTGGTGATTCATCACCCAACGAATCACTCCCACGTAGCTGTGGCACGTGTCTGCATCTTTTATTCGACTCTGCATCTTTTATTCGACTCTGCATCTTTTATTCGACTCTGCATCTTTTATTCGACTCTGCATCTTTTATTCGACTCTGCATCTTTTATTCGACTCTGCATCTTTTATTCGACTCTGCATCTTTTATTCGACTCTGCATCTTTTATTCGACTCTGCATCTTTTATTCGACTCTGCATCTTTTATTCGACTCTGCATCTTTTATTCGACTCTGCATCTTTTATTCGACTCTGCATCTTTTATTCGACTCTGCATCTTTTATTCGACTCTGCATCTTTTATTCGACTCTGCATCTTTTATTCGACTCTGCATCTTTTATTCGACTCTGCATCTTTTATTCGACTCTGCATCTTTTATTCGACTCTGCATCTTTTATTCGACTCTGCATCTTTTTTTCGACTCTGCATCTTTTTTTCGACTCTGCATCTTTTTTTCGACTCTGCATCTTTTATTCGACTCTGCATCTTTTATTCGACTATGCATCTTTTATTCGACTCTGCATCTTTTATTTGACTCTGGATCTTTTATTCGACTCTGCATCTTTTATTCGACTCAGCATCTTTTATTCGACTCTGCATCTATTATTCGACTCTGCATCTATTATTCGACTCTGCATCTTTTATTCGACTCAAATTTGGAGTCGATTTCTTTAGTCCACTAAAAATGCATTCATTCTTTTTATGCAGGCATTTACCAGACGAATCACTGCCAGGTAGCAGTGGCATGTGTCTGCTAGTGGTGGGCGTATCGCACACGCCCTCTCCAAAACAACTCATTATAGTCTTGCCCCTCTCTTTCCCCAATACCCATCAGTGCTGCACACGTGTGCTTGAAGGGCAAGCGGTTTCTGGCGGTGGGTGACAGCCAGCAGTGGGTGCTCTTTTCTCACACGTCCACTGTGATCCATCTCTCAATAGCTCTACCCCACCGTAACCCTTACCCCGTTTGCCCCCCCTCCACCAGTGCTGCACGCACATGCCTGAAGGGAAAGCGACTGCTGGTGGTGGGGGACAGCCAGCAGTGGGTGCTCTTCTCGCACCTGCTCTCCTTCCTCTCCTCCTCTTCCCGATGCCGCCTGCTGCAAGGCCTGGGCGACCGCCGCTCTTCCCTTGTTCGCCTCAGATGTGACAAGGTGCGTTAGTACTGGGTTCGAGTGGAGGGATATTGCCAGGGAATAAAAACGCCGTCCATTGCCTGCTCGCCCTCCTCACCTCCTCCTCCTCCAAGGCCTGGGCGACCGCCACTCCTCCCTTGTTCGCCTCAGATGTGATGAGGTGCGTGAGTGTTGAGTTGGGAAGGGCGTGCTGGGTTGAGGAAAGGTGAGTGCGGCGTTGGATTGGAGGGAAGGGCTTGTTGGGTTGGGTTGGGGGGATGGGAAGAGGCAGAGGACAGGAAATTGTCTCTTACCAGCTGCCCTGCTTCAAACCTGCTCTCCTTCCATGCCCTCTGCACTATGAACCCCATCAGGCGCACATGCACGGCCCTGTGCGGGGTACCGGGGTCAGAAGGGCAGCATGTGGCAGTGCACCACACCTACTTCGCCCTTACTATTGTTGCCACCAACCAACTCGAAGGGGACTCATGGGTTATAATTTCTAAGTCTCTTTTTTCTCTCTCCAAACTCTGAATGCCACCAGGCGCACATGCAGGGGCCTGTGCCGTGGGTGCCGGGGTCAGAGGGGCAGCACGTGGCAGTGCACCACACCTACTTCGCCCCCACTGTTGCCGCCACCTACTATGGCGCAGAGGGCAACGGATTTGCTGTTGCAAGGTAGGGTGGTGGGAGAAGGTTGCAACACGTAATCTTTTCCCTCTCGTCTGTCTTGTGCTACAGCCGCCTTGGCCCCGCTGTTTCCACCACCTACTGTGGCGCAGAGGGCAACGGGTTTGCTGTAGCAAGGTCGGTGGCGTACTGCGCTCGTACCTGTATTAGGCTGGCTACTGTCATTCTGGATTAGTTTTTTCAGTATTGACAAAGATACCCCACCCATCTTTCTTACCACGACGGCCCTGTGCTCCTGGTGCCTCAGCCCTCAAGCCTAAACTCCCACTGGATGCTTCTGCGTGACCAGGTCGATGTCTCTGTAGCAGCTAAACCTCTCAACCCCTGCCTTACCTGCCCTCAAACCTCTTTACCCCTGCCTTACCAGGTCCATCTCCATACCTGCCAGCTGGACCTCTGAATCCCTGCCTTACCTTCTCTCCCATCTCCCCACCCCCTGTTGTCACCATCGTGAGCTCTTGGTGCCTCGATTGAAGCGCCCCGTTATCACCACCACCCCAGCGGATGCTTCTGCAGGACCAGGTCGGTGTCTCTGTAGCAGCTAAACCTTTAAGCCCTGCCTTACCTGCTCTCCCATCGCCCCACCCCCTCTTTTCACCATGGTGCAATCCCGTGCCGCAATTACGAGCAGAATACCAGTGGATTTGAATGCGACCGCACCAGATTCAGCTTCCCTCAACGACAGGAAGCGCAAGCGGGACCTGAATGAGCGTGATGCAATCGGTAGTGAAATGCCAACCGGGAGCAGCAGGAGGCGGAGCGGAGACAGAAGCCAAGGAGGAGCGGAGCAGTATGATTCGTTGGAAGGCCGGGATGTGCTCGACATGTCAGCTACAGACGAGGACCCTCGGGATCTCCGCACAGCGAGCAGGATTCGGGAGGAGGAACAAGAGAGGGAGCGGCAGCGGGCGGCAGATGCCGACCAGATTGTGGCGGTGTTTGTGGCGCACTCGAACGCGTCAGAGCCGTTGTACAGGGATTGGATGGTGAACCACACGCGACGTGGCCCATTGGCCAATGAGCACGCGCCGTTTGACTTTGTGCTGGCGTCCAGCGGGCTGCATGACCTGGCGGCGTTTGATTCGCCAGAAGAATATGCCGCTGCACTTGGTAAGTATTTTCTTTAGTTTTTGCGAGAATCCCTTGGTGGGTTTTCTTCAAATGTGTTTTTTCTTGCTCTTTGGAGCCTTAACGCCCACAAACAGATCTGGGTGGTTGGATGCTTTTTGCTCGAGCCATTCGCCAGTTTCATTATCCGTGTGTGTGGCCATGGTTCGTTACATATTATAAGAGCGGTATATTATGCCGTTCTCTCCCTGCAGACCGGGAGTTTGTGGCTTCGGTGCGCTTTGCTGTGAATGGCGGTATGGGGGGCCCTGGCTTGGCAGTGGTGTGGTTGGGGCCGTGGGCGGTGCAGCAGTCAGCTGTTGCTCCTGACCTGCTGCCTTCCATGAACCACCCCCGCCTCTCAGCATTCGACGCCGCCGCACACAGGTTAGCACATCTCTCTACCTATTGAGACATTTATTAGGATTCTCAGCAGTGGTGTGGTTGGGGCCGTGGGCAGTGCAGCAGTCAGCTGTTGCTCCTGACCTGCTGCCTTCCATGAACCACCCCTGCCTTCGACGCTGCTAACCACAGGTTAGCACCTGGGCACTCTTCGGTTGCTCATATTGCACGTTGCTGCTGAAATCTGCCTCATGCATTCCGTGCTTCGGCAACTTCCTAGTGAAATCCTTAGAACTGTCTTTTCGTGAACAACTTTGTGTTTCCTTGTTTGCATGTGTGTGCAGCCTGATCAATTCATGGAAGGTTCCTTTCATCTCAACCATACCCATGACACTCTCGCGTCCGGACTTGTCAAAAGATGGCACACACTATTCTTGGCCAGTATCCATGGCCATGTTGGAGCTATGGCTTGGCTCTGTATGCCCTGAGCAACCTACCTTAAAAGACTGTTAGTGAAGAGTATGTTGTTGACACTAGTTTTGTCATATTATTGTTAACAGACTATTACAGCTGTTATCCATGTACAAATTCAGCACGCTGAATCAGCCTCGTGTAGTGTAATGAATCGGCAAGGCAGTACAAGATAAAGATGAGATGGTGTCGGTATGTGTCTGTCTGTTATGCATAAGTACTGAGCAAGGTTTCACGTCTTTTATGCTGACCGCTGATCGTGCAATAACGGGTATCAGCGAAGGAAACATGCATCATACCGGGTGCTAGTGAAAATCGGATGGGGTTCTGCGGTTTCCGCTGTGGTTCGGTTTGGTGACTGCTGGGCCTGCTGCTTCTTCTCACTCCATCCACATCACCTCAGCTTTCGCCATGGCTGCTGTGCTGTGCGTCTATTCACTCCCTAGCATAGTTTGTTACCTGAACCTTGCACCTTAGAAGACTGTCGTGGAACATCTGGCTTCGACTTCTTGTCGGTCAGCGATTTTGGTGAGCCTCAGCGATCGCAGCAGGCGGTTGCGCCGTCTTCCCTCGTGCACGTGCACTTCATCTCCTCGACGGGGCTGTTCTGTCGCTTGTCGCCGCGATCAGCGCTCGCGTATTGAGAGCTTGCTGGCTTCATTGTTTCGCGTTGGGACGCTGCTTTGCCTCCCCTCGCTGCCTGCGTTCTCCTCGGTGCGTTTCTAAAGTTTCCCAAAAGCGAAAACGTCGCTGGAGTGGGGCAATTGTAACCTGCTCTTTAGCGCCACCACTCAGACGTTTCTGAAGTTGTTACCGGGTCTTTTCTCCCAAATTTTGCCGCCCGGTTTTAAGGGTTAGGAGTTTCGTCGGCAGCCATGTCGTCCCTTCTCGCGAACCTTCCGTCTCGCGGCAATTTCTCCGCGGCGGCGTGCACGCTGTCGTCGTCGATCCCCGTGTACATCTGCGACCACGACACGTCTCCGCCGTCCGATCAGATCATCACGACCGATCCAACGAACATCCTGCTTCGCGCGCTCACCATGAATAAGACGCGCGACGCGGAAGCAGCAAAGGCGGCGCAAGACAAGGGGAAGAAGACAGCTTCCGGTGCTCCTGGTGCTTCTGCTGCTGGTACCGGTGCTGCTGGTATTTCTGGTTCTGCTGCTGCTGGTACTGGCGCTGCTGGTGCTGCTGCAGCGGCTCACGACACCAGATCACGGCAATCAGGACTTCAAGATAAAGGCAAGAGGCCTGCCACAGGTGATCCCGGTCAGGACGACGCGATTGGTGCGACTAGATCCGGCGGGAGACCGGCGAAACGCGGCCCGGGCGTGGGGAGCAGCGGCGGCGGTGGCGGAATGGAGCAGGATCGGGAAGCGGGGCGGACTCTTAAGGGGATGACGAGCGAGCGGGATGTGGATGGGCTGACTGTTGAGAGGTTGAGAGCGTGTTTGAAGGAGAAGGGTTTGTCGATCAGAGGGAGGAAGGAGGAGTTGGTTGCCAGGCTGAAGCTGGCTCTGGGGTTGAACTCTAATTAGTGGAGAAGGGGTTGTGGACGGGGTGACTGTTGAGAGGCTGACGTGTTTGAAGGAGAAGGGGTTGCTGATCAGAGAGAGAAAGGAGGAGCTAGTGACCAGGCTGAAGCTGGCTCTGGGGTTGAACTCCAGTTAGGGGCCTGAGCCCTGAACCTGTCACATGATCAGTACCGGTAGTAATCCACTTGGAATCAGTGGACACATGCCATCCACCATAAGTTGGCCTGGTCTGGTGTGTTAAGAGGAATGCAGTTGTGGTATTTGTTGTGGAGAGTGGTAGGTAGGTAGGTTTGTTCACATAGGAAGGCTCTTGCGTCGTCCTGTCCTGTGTGCTTGTATCATGCTTATTTTCTTTTGCAAGCTAGCAAATCGCTTGTGAAAGACTCTTTGAAATGGATGTTCCGAATTCCAATCTCAGCAACAATTGCACTTGATTGGTTGAATTGAAGCCAACCTCAGCAATGCTGGTGCTGGTGTCCATTTCCCTGCTGAACTCAGCTCACCTCATAACTATTGCATGGGTACCGTAGGTACAGTACGGTATGCTGCCACATCAGCATTCCTAATCTTCCAGATAAAGTGATACACTCCATTGCACTGTGTGTGTGTGTGTGTGTGTGTGTGTGTGTGTGTGTGTGTGTGTGTGTGTGTGGTGTCTGTCTGTCTGTCTGTCTGTCTGTGTGTCTGTGTGGTGCCTGCATGTGTGTGTCTGTGTGTGTCTGTGCATGGTGCTTGAGTTGACAGCATTGCAGCGTCAAGCACACCATTACCGTACACTGCCTTTCACTGTGATACACAGCAACATTCCATCTCAGGTTGGCGGTGCAAGGGCTCTTCCCATATGCCATCTAACGAGTGACGACACTGATTGGGTGGCGAGCGAGGCAACTGTGGCAGGGAGGGAGAAAGAACATCTCATCAAGTGAAAAGCACACATCAACCCCTCTAGAGGACAACGATTTCTTGCCAATAAGGTACAATACAGCTACAGAACCAACAGTCTGGAAGGACGTCTCCAATCTACTGTATCAAAGCAGCCTCTATTCACCGGAAGTGACTAGCTGGGAGGATGGCCACCAAGAGGCAGGCACATCTAATCAGGTACCCGCACACCGTGTACATGTAGAATTTTTGAGTCGACTCAAAAATCGAACAGGCACAGCACATCTAATAAGGTGCCCGCACACCGTGTACATGAAGACTCCGCTCCACCACGACACATGGATACCCTAATCCATCACACAACTTTGTGGGAGGGGTTTCACGCATGCCATTTCACGCATGCATGATTGGAATTTAAATGCCATATGCTGTCACTCCGCCTTGACAACTGGAGTGTCCTGCAGGCTACCCCATTCAGTCCACGAGCCATCGTACACGGGCACGTCCCACCGCCCCAGGCGAGCCAGAGCCTGCAGCAGGGAGAGAGAACACGTGGTGCAGAAGGGTCAAGAGAGGTGAATAGCAGAGTGTGAGGGACACAAATTACAGGAGGAGGAACACTACCCCTCTCAGTCCACGAGCCATCATACACCGGCACGTCCCACCGCCCCTAGACGAGCCAGTGCCTGCAGCGAGGGAGGGCAGAGACGGAGGAACACGAGTTGCAGAAGGGGGTATAAGGAAGAGAATAGCAGAGTGTGAGGGAAACGAGGTACAGAAGGAGCACTACCCCTCTCTGTCCACGAGCCATCATACACGGGCACGTCCCACCGACCCAGACGAGCCAGTGCCTGCAGCAACGGGGCAAAGGAGAAGATAGATAGAATAGCAGAGCCTGGGGAAGAAGGAGTGCAGAAGAAGGGGTTCTAGTGGTTAATAATTCTCAAAAACAGACTCTATTGAGTCCACGAGCCGTCATATTCCGTCATGTCCCATCATAATCTGTCACGTCCATCAACCCAGACGAGCCAGAGCCTTGAATAAGGGAGAGAAGGGGTTGGGAAGGAGATGCAATAGTAAAGCGGTATGGAGAGAGAGGGAGAGAAGGCGAATATCAGAGTGTAGCCCAGGGGGAACAGAGAGCACACATACAGCGACTTCTGGCTGTGGTGCGGCGTGGTGCACTGTGGTGCGGCGTGGTGCACTGTGGTGCGGCGTGGTGCACTGTGGTGCTTCGTGGTGCACTGTGGTGCTTCGTGGTGCACTGTGGCGCGGCGTGGTGCACTGTGGTGCGGCGTGGTGCACTGTGGTGCGGCGTGGTGCACTGTGGTGCGGCGTGGTGCACTGTGGTGCGGCGTGGTGCACTGTGGTGCGGCGTGGTGCACTGTGGTGCGGCGTGGTGCACTGTGGTGCGGCGTGGTGCACTGTGGTGCGGCGTGGTGCACTGTGGTGCGGCGTGGTGCACTGTGGTGCGGCGTGGTGCACTGTGGTGCGGCGTGGTGCACTGTGGTGCGGCGTGGTGCGCTGTGGTGCGGCGTGGTGCGCTGTGGTGCGGCGTGGTGCGCTGTGGTGCGGCGTGGTGCACTGTGGTGCAGCGTGGTGCACTGTGGTGCGGCGTGGTGCACTGTGGTGCGGCGTGGTGCACTGTGGTGCGGCGTGGTGCACTGTGGTGCGGCGTGGTGCACTGTGGTGCGGCGTGGTGCACTGTGGTGCGGCGTGGTGCACTGTGGTGCGGCGTGGTGCGCTGTGGTGCGGCGTGGTGCGCTGTGGTGCGGCGTGGTGCGCTGTGGTGCGGCGTGGTGCACTGTGGTGCGGCGTGGTGCACTGTGGTGCGGCGTGGTGCACTGTGGTGCGGCGTGGTGCACTGTGGTGCGGCGTGGTGCACTGTGGTGCGGCGTGGTGCACTGTGGTGCGGCGTGGTGCACTGTGGTGCGGCGTGGTGCACTGTGGTGCGGCGTGGTGCACTGTGGTGCGGCGTGGTGCACTGTGGTGCGGCGTGGTGCGCTGTGGTGCGGCGTGGTGCGCTGTGGTGCGGCGTGGTGCGCTGTGGTGCGGCGTGGTGCGCTGTGGTGCGGCGTGGTGCGCTGTGGTGCGGCGTGGTGCGCTGTGGTGCGGCGTGGTGCACTGTGGTGCGGCGTGGTGCACTGTGGTGCGGCGTGGTGCACTGTGGTGCGGTGTGGTGCACTGTGGTGCGGCGTGGTGCACTGTGGTGCGGCGTGGTGCACTGTGGTGCGGCGTGGTGCACTGTGGTGCGGCGTGGTGCGCTGTGGTGCGGAGTGGTGCGCTGTGGTGCGGCGTGGTGCGCTGTGGTGCGGCGTGGTGCACTGTGGTGCGGCGTGGTGCACTGTGGTGCGGCGTGGTGCACTGTGGTGCGGCGTGGTGCACTGTGGTGCGGCGTGGTGCACTGTGGTGCGGCGTGGTGCACTGTGGTGCGGCGTGGTGCACTGTGGTGCGGCGTGGTGCACTGTGGTGCGGCGTGGTGCGCTGTGGTGCGGCGTGGTGCGCTGTGGTGCGGCGTGGTGCGCTGTGGTGCGGCGTGGTGCGCTGTGGTGCGGCGTGGTGCGCTGTGGTGCGGCGTGGTGCACTGTGGTGCGGCGTGGTGCGCTGTGGTGCGGCGTGGTGCACTGTGGTGCGGCGTGGTGCGCTGTGGTGCGGCGTGGTGCGCTGTGGTGCGGCGTGGTGCGCTGTGGTGCGGCGTGGTGCGCTGTGGTGCGGCGTGGTGCGCTGTGGTGCGGCGTGGTGCACTGTGGTGCGGCGTGGTGCGCTGTGGTGCGGCGTGGTGCGCTGTGGTGCGGCGTGGTGCGCTGTGGTGCGGCGTGGTGCAGTGCACGTACCAGAGCGAGCACACATGCAGTGACTCCTGTACCACAGGAGGCAGCGAGAGGCTGCTTGGGGTCCTCAACGCTCACCCCTGCAAAGATTGACACAGGAAGAGGAGGTCAGCACCGAGAGATAAAAAAGGCAGGTGAAAGGTGGTAGGGCAGGGGAGAGGCGGCAGGGGGAGGCGACAGGGGGGAGGCGGCAGGGCAGGGGGGAGGCGGCAGGGCGTGGGGGAGGCTGCAGGGCAGGGGGGAGGCGGCAGGGCGTGGGGGAGGCTGCAGGGCAGGGGGGAGGCTGCAGAGACTGCTTGGAGTCCTTAACGCCCACCCCTGCTAAGATTGACACAGGAAGAGGAGGTCAGAACAGAGTAAGGAAGGGCAGAGGTCATTGGGGGATGGGTAAGAGGGGGCAGTGAAATTCGAGGTACGTAGGAGGTGCGACTGTGGGAAGAGTTGAGCCTTATCCCTTATCCTGGTATGCCATGTGTGATGGCAGGGAGGGGGAGAAGATTTGTTGCAACACCAGCTTCTGAGGCGCTTCAAAAATGGCAGGAAGGGGAGGTGCAACACCACTGGCTGAAGTTATGGGAGAGCAGGGAAGCAGGCGGCCCTCACAAAACAATGGGCGCCTCAGAGAGTTTTGCGAGAAAAGGGATCCATGCGACTTTTGAGACGTCTCAAAAGCAGGCGGTCCTCACAAAGCAATGGGCGCCTCTGAGAGTTTTGCGAGAAAAGGGATCCATGAGGCACTCACAGAATGTGTGAGGGAAGTCACCACCATGTTATGGCAGCATGGAGCAAACGAGCAGCTACAGCACCAGAAAATTCCAATTCCCCTTTCTCTTCCCCTTTCTCTTCCTCTGCTCTTCCCCTTGCTCTACCCCTTGCTCTTCCCCTTGCTCTGCCCCTTGCTCTTCCTCTTGCTCTTCCCCTCTCTATTCCTTTTTACCCACGGCCAATCACGAGCATGGACTTGCCTGCGCTCTTGAAGGCTTGGGTGAGGTCTGAGGCAGGCTTCAACTGTCCCTGAGGGGTCAACACCTGGAGGGACAACGGGCAGGGGGGAACAACGAGCAGCCACTCAGCTATGGCCTATTGCAAGGCTTGGGTGGGGTCTGAGGCAGGCTTCAACTGTCCCTGTGGGGTCAGGACCTGGGGGACGTCGGGTAATGAGCAATGGGGGAGGAAGAAAGGAGGGTGAGAGAAGCTAGCGCACAGCAATGCTTGTGAGTGTGGCTCTTGAAGGCTTGGGCGAGGTCTGAGGCAGGCTTTAACTGTCGTGACTTTTGAGTCGACTCAAAAATGCTTGTGAGTGTGGCTCTTGAAGGCTTGGGTGAGGTCTGAGGCAGGCTTTAACTGTCCCCGTGGGGTCAGGACCTGATGGGCAACGGGCAATGGGTAGTGGCAATGGGCAGTGTGGGGGGGAAGAAGGAGAGCGAGAGAAGCTAACACTCAGGTAGCTATTGCAAGGCTTGGGTGAGATTTGAGGCAGGTTCTAACTGTCCCTGTGGGGTCAGCAGCAGCTATAATGAATCTCTATAAGGAAGTCAAATCAACGCTTATATTCAACGAATTCTTATAGAACGATTCCTGCTGTGCTACGAATGACTCTAATGAGCATTGAGGTGAGTTCTGAGGCGCCTCAAAACTAACCAGATAGAGCCATTCTTGCTATGCTACGAATGAGTTCAATGGAATGCAGACTCACATTCGGCTGAACTATACCTCGGGAAAGGGGACATTGAAGCTTCCTGGGATGCTTCCTCCTCGTACTCCTGCCCTAGGCTCAGGGTCTGTACCCTTGAACCTGCATGCACGCATGTATAACATCAGACATACATGTACATATGAGAGCAGGTGTATTCACACATGGAATTGGACGCAGTTACGGATTAAACACAATGATGAGTCTTCAGTTTCTCATCTTGGCATGTTACCATTACGGCGCTAAACTGAAAAGAGGTCTTCAGTTTTCAATTTATTAACGTAACACGTTACAATGCCATACACAGCAGCAAGCACCAACCACACATAAGTAGCTAAGAGGCATACCATTTCCACCACACCATCATATCAGTTCATGCCACCTTGCCACCATGCCATCAACTGCAAACCATTTCCATGACACTTCATCATGCCTTCACCCCACCCCACCGCGCCCAGCCTCCACACCAAAGCACACGCGGACCCACCCCATCCCACCCCACCCTTTCCCACCACAGCATACCGGCCAGCAGAGCGGGCATCGCTCACTTGATACACCTTATTCTCGATATTCGCCTTCACCTGAAGGCATTCAACGGTTAAAGCCCGCGGGCCCAGAAGTTCAACGTTAGGAAGGTTGGTTGGGGCGAGCAATGCAATTGGCCAAGATTCCGGGTGCCAGGGTCACACTCAACCGAAGTTAGGAAGGCTTAACCAATTTGGGCTTGCTAGGCTGGCCCGCAGGCAGGTTTTAAGAACGTTGCCAGTCAGACAGCAGAAGTGCATGAAAGAAGGAGGAGGAGAAGAAGCAGAAGAAGAAACGTTGAAAGGATCGCCTGGTTCAGAGTTCAGTGCAGGCATTAACTGGGGCAGGCATTGACTGGCGCAAGCCTTATCTGGCACGAAGGGGCAAGGGAGACACACCTGATCAACGGACAGGATGAGGTTGGGCTGCAGCTTGGCATTGAAGGTGAGCAGGCGGTTGGATGCGGCCTGGATGGTAGAGGGCGGTGCAGACACAGAAAAAGGGACATCAGTGGATCTTGGTGTAAAAGCGAGGAGGCGGTTTAATGCACCTGGATGGAAGAGAGAGTGGAGGGAGGAGGTTAGGAGGGGAATGAGAGTACAAGGAAGGCGGACCAGTAAGGAGATTTTAGCCTTGCGAGCCAAAAGGGCGGTATCTGTCCTTCTGGATCCCAAATTACCTTTGGGTAAACTAGTACACACCTTTGTAGAGCATTTTGAGGCGCCTCAAAAGAGCATTTTGAGGCGCCTCAAAAGAGCATTTTGAGGCACCTCAAAAGTGCATTTTGAGGCGTTTTGAGGCGCCTTTGGGTAAACTAGTGCACACCTTTGTAGAGTAACTGTCCTTGATGGCAGTAGCAGCCGCCTTGTGCCGCCCGGCCGCCTTGTCCGACGGCTCTGCCTCCACTGGGTAACCTGCCGCCCGCCAGGCTGGCAGCCCGCCGTCCAGCACTGCCACGTGTGGCTGTCCGAATGCACGGAACATCCTGTGTGCGTTGAAACAATGGAAGAGGAGGAAGAGGAGGAAGGGGAGGAAGAAGGGAAGGGACGGGGGCGGGGAAAGAAGCAGTGGCGGCAGATGTGAGCTTTCTGTCATTCTCGCCATCCAGCACTGCCACGTGTGGCTGGCCGAATGCACGGAACATCCTGTGAGTGTTGGGAAGCGGAAAGGGAGGAGCAGGAGGGGGGAAGGGAAGGGCCCTGGACGGGGATGGAGCAAAGGCGAGGTGTCATCACTGCCACGTATGGCTGTCCGAATGCACGGAACAATCTGTGTGCGTTGGGAACCAGCAGGGGAAGCAGGGAAAAGTTGAAGTGGGAGGATTGCTAAGAAATTGCGATGTCACACCTACCCAGTTTCGACCAGCTCACACACAGTAGAAGCACCACCAAAATTAAACACAACCACTTGTCACCGCTTTGAACCACTCACCACCACGCTCTGGCGGCGCTGAAGAGTCCCTTGCCATCGTACACCACTATGCTGTCACTAGATGACAAACCCAAAGCTGACGCAGCTGCAGAAAAGGCGGCCTCTGTTGGCAGCATGTGGGGAAGCTGTCACACAATATAGAATATGTGGGAGACACGGATGGGGACAAGGGGAATGACTTGAAATAAGGCAAATTCGTGTAGGGCTGGCGGTGGTACGATAGGATTTTATCTGAATGCCGGACGCACTTCAAACATTAACGTTTTATTTTTTAACTAAGTGACGCACTTACATCTGTGGTGGGGTCAGCAATGGCGTCAATATCAAAGAAGATTGCTCCTGGGATCCTCCCATGCTGCGCAGTGTGCACGTGAGACAGGGAGGGAGAAGGAGAGAGGATGTTTCTTGAGACGTCTCAGCAATGGCATCAACATAAAAGAGGATGGCTCCTGGGATCCTCCCATGCTGCGCTCTCGAGAGAGGGAGGGAGACGAAAAGAGGACGACACGGGGAACATTTCAATCTAATATTTTGGCATTAAAAAACAGATAGCAGGGCAGCAAGACAGTGACATATGTCTGTCCGTCTACTCAAACTCCTGAAACTCAACCGTATTGATTATCCAGAACCATAAACACGTTCTCTCTGTCCATCCAACTACCACACCCTCTTTCTTCCTCTTCCCAGCCCAGCATCCAGAGCGTTACTCACATGTCCACACTCGAAACTCCTCACCAGATATAGACGTATTAGCACAGCAAGACCAGATACTTCTCATGATGCTTTTTGTGACACACAGAACAGAACCAACCAACCAGCGACACTCCTCACCTGAAACTCCTCAAACGGCTGGCGTTTCTCTGCAGGCATGTACCACGAGGCGTCCAGGACCTGATGGTGAGGGGTTTAAAGGGGGAAGTGGGGTTGGGGGAAGGATGTGAAGTGGGGCGTTGAGCACTGAGGTGTGAAACTAGAGGCGTTTCTCTGCAGGCATGTACCACGAGGCGTCCAGGACCTGATGGTGAGGGGTTTAAAGGGGGAAGTGGGGTTGGGGGAAGGATGTGAAGTGGGGCGTTGAGCACTGAGGTGTGAAACGAGAGGCGTTTCTCTGCAGGCATGTACCACGAGGCGTCCAGGACCTGATGGTGAGGGGTTTAAAGGGGGAAGTGGGGTTGGGGGAAGGATGTGAAGTGGGGCGTTGAGCACTGAGGTGTGAAACGAGAGGCGTTTCTCCGCAGGCATGTACCACGAGGCGTCCAGGACCTGTGTGGTTTGCGCGATCAGAGGGAAAACTGGGCGAGGAGTGGGGCATTGAGCTTTGACGGGGGAAACAGCATTTTCAGGTAGCGAGTTGACTTTTGAGTCGACTCAAAAGTCAACTCGAGGAGTGGGGCATTGAGCTTTGAGGGGGAAACAGCATTTTCAGGTAGGCTAAGGCGCTTCTCAGCAGGTAAGTACTACAAGGAGTCGAGCACCTGCTGGGGTTAAGAGTGGGGAAGAGGGCGTGGGGTGGGTAAAGAGGAGGGGAGGGTTGAGACGTGGGGATGGAGCATTGAAGGAGGCGGCATTTCCTCGCAGGCATGTACCACGAGGCGTCGAGCACCTGTTGGGGTTGGGGGTTGAAAAGGAGGAGGGGACAGCATGTGAAGTGGTGCTTTGAGCAGTGGGGGAAGAGCGTTTGAAGGGCATTTTTTTGCAGGCATGCACCACGAGGAGACTAGCAGCTGTTGGCCATTCGAGGGGTTGGTTGAGAAGGGGAAAAGGGAGGGGGACATCACAGCACGCACGCGTGCATGTGCAGCACACGACGCGAACCATTGTGCGCCACTTCACTACATCACATCAAAGAATGTATATTGCACAGGTGCAGCGGTGATAAGGGAATCCGCAGAACGGTAGATGAGAAAGCAGGTGGGTGGTGTGGTAACATCCCGGGGTGGTGCATGGTGTGCTGGGATCACGAGAAGGTGAGTGGTGTGACAGGATTACGAGAAAGTGGGTGGAGTAGCAGGATTACAAGACGATTGGTGATGTGGGTGGCAAGATCATGAAAAGATAAAGACGAAGGTGGGTCCTCATATCCTGCCACACCACCAATGTTTTTGTAATCATAACATTCCACCGACCTTCTCGTAATCCTGCCACTCCACACACCTTCTCGTGATACAGCTGCACCAACACCAACTTGTGATGTTACCACGCCGCACACCACCTCGTGATGCCACACCACCACCTGCCACCTCGTGATGCCACACCACCATCCACCACCTTGTAATGTTACCACACCACCTGCCACCTCGTGATGCTACCACACCACCCACCACCTCGTGATGTTACCACACCACCCACTAGACAGACCTTGACTTTGGAGAGGTTGTCATGCAGCCAGGCAGGGGAGACCACGGGGCTGTTCTCTGGCAGCACTGCTGTTGGGAAGGGGGAGCGACAGAGAGAGGCATCACAGTGGAAACAACACTGGGAGGATGAGTGCGAGGGTGAGAGCCAATGTGAGTGCGTGTGACAGCCAGGCAGGAGAGACCACGCGGCTGTTTTCTGGCAGCACAGATATTGGAAAAAGGGGGGTGGCAAATAGAGAGAGGCATCCCAACGGAAGCAGCACTGTGAGGATCAGTGCAAGGGGGTGAGTGCCACTGTGAGCGCGTGTGACAGCCACGCAGGGGAGACCACGAGGCTGCTATATGGCAGCACTGCTGTTGGGAAAGGGGGAGCGACAGAGAGAGGCATCACAGTAGAAGCAGCACTGCGAGGATGAGTGCGAGGCTGATAGCCGATGTGTGTGTGTGTGTGAAAGCCAGGCACGGGAGACCACGGGGCTGTTCTCAGGCAGCACAGCTGTTGCGACGGGGTGTAGCAGCAGAGAGAGGCATTACAAAAGAAGTAGCATTTGAGGCTGAGTGTCCGGGTGAGCGCCAATGTGAGTGTGTGTGAGAGTAAAGGTGAGTTTCTTGGTGTGAGTGCGAGCACAAGCGGGAGTGAGAATGCCTGAGCGAGCGGGACCACGCAGCTGTTCTCAACCAGCACAGCTGGAAGGAAACACAGTAGCGACAGAAACAGAGGAGGAACGAAACTGGGAGTGTGAGTGTGATAGTTGAGTAAGACCGTGTGTATGAATGAGTGTAAGTTTACATGAATGTGAGTGTGACCAAGTGCAACCGTGGGTGTGAATAAGAGTGACTATGTATGAGTGTGATTGTGCATGAGTGTGCAACGAGGCAGAGCTCCGTCAGCACTCCTTCAAGGGAGGCAGAGACAGAGACGAATCACACTGGGATAGCCAGTGTCTATGTGTGCGAGCGAGTGAAAATGAGTGCGACTGTGTATGAGTGTGACTGTGTATGAGTGTGACTGCGTATGAGTGTGACCGTGTATGAGTGTGACTGCGTATGAGTGTGACTGTGTATGAGTGTGACTGCGTATGAGTGTGACTGCGTATGAGTGTGACTGTGTATGAGTGTGACTGTATGAGTGTGACTGTGCATGAGTGTGACTGTGCATGAGTGTGACTGTGTATGAGTGTGACTGTGTATGAGTGTGACTATGTATGAGTGCGACTGTGAATGAGTGCGACTATGTATGAGTGTGACTGTGTATGAGTGTGACTGTATAAGTGTGACTGTATGAGTGTGACTGCATGACACCGCAAAGAGGCAGAAAATAACCACCACAAACTGACTCTCCCGTCAGTCGCTGCATCGCCCCACCCATCACTTCAGCACCGTGCATACCTGCAGCCATGACCACACCCCACCCATCACTTCAGCACCCCACGCAGTACCTGCAGCCATGACCACACCCCACCCATCACTTCAGCACCCCACGCAGTACCTGCAGCCATGACGTGGACGAACGTGCTGCAGGTGCAGCGATGGGCACGGCATGGCACGCGCTACTAAATTGCCATGACCACACCACACCCCACCCATCACGTCAGCACCGTGCATATCTGCTGGCGTGGATGAAGCTGCAGCGCCACACGCAGTACCTGCAGCCACGGCGTGGATGATCGTGCTGCAGGAGCGGCGCTGCGCACGGCTCGCGCTGCTTGCTTGCTTGGACCACACCCCACCCATCACTTCAGCACCACACGCAGTACCTGCAGCCATGGCGTGGACGATCGTGCTGCAGGAGCGACGGCGCGCGTTGCTTGCTTGTCTGGACCACGCGCCTTCGCCGCCGAGCGAGTGCAGAAGCAGTGAGGAGCTGAGGAAGTGGGCTGATCTGCAGTTGCACAAGATGCAGCAGACAACAAACACAAGGAATAAGCGACTGAAACGTCTCAACGTGCGACGCCAAGGGAGTGCAGGAGGAGAGAGGAGTCCAGGAACTGAGTGGAGCTGCTACAGTTGCACAAGGTGCAGCGAGCAACAGAGAGAAACGGATAGCTAAACGGTACGCCGTCAAGGGAGTGAGGGAGCAGCAACGGCTGAGAAAAGGGGTGGAACAACTACAGGGTCCAGCGGCAGAAGCTAATAGACGGAAAGCATTCACTCTTTACAGGCGACATCCGAGTCAACTCCACGAGCTACTAACTAACAAGGCTCCCATGGTTCAGGCGCGTTCCAATCACGGACCTGAGTTCTTTCAAGACGAGGTGACTTCTGGTCCGATTCCACATTTCCAAAGGACCCAAAGAATCCCTTAGTTCACGCACGTTCCGATCACGGACCTGAGTGCTTTCGGAGTGGATGACGCAGATGAGACGCCGCTCCACAGGGTGGTTCCGGCACGATTCTGTAGATCCTGCACGCAACGGGACGAAATCGTGCGATGAATTCGTGGTTACCGTGCGATTCTTTCAACGAATCGTGCGGTGATCGCACGATAAGCCGCGTTGGATTGACGAGGAGGTAACCAGCACAGTGAGGCTGAGCTTCAATAGCTGGAAAGAATATTAATTAATAATGAACGTTCGTGAGATTGTCAGTAAGTTCGCGTACCAAGCGGCAAGTAGCAGTCGGAACTAGGCGAAAGCAGGCAGCCATAGAATGACCAAGGAGCAGAACCTAAATCGAAATGAAGAGATGTTGAAGAAAAGTATCAGCCAAGCTCGATCTCGGAAGTTTCGAGAAATATTGTTTTAACGAGAAAGAGCATGCGATACGAGGGATGCTGCCATGTGTGGTCACATGCACTGCAACCTAAGGCACGGTCGTGAAACCTGTGTCTAGCTGTTCTGTGACTTCGCTGTTGTCACGAACGCAAGCATGGATGCTGCTGTGAGTGGGCAAGTCTTGCTTCTGAAGGCGTGTTCTTTGTACGAGATTTTAGGCCTGTGAGACGGTCAGTTTCCCTTGCGCGAAGCTTTTATATATTAGCAACGCCTGCTCAAGCTCGTCGTACACTCTGATTTACGAACGATCACGACTCGTCAACGAAATGAACGATCCGTTCGCCAACAAGCGCGGTAGGTCCCAAGGCAGTTCGGCAAGTCGTTTGGACGCGACCTCCGAAAAGATGTACCGTCAAGAGAGAAGTTGACTGCGCATTTGGGATTGCATTGCAAATCTTCCATGGTTACCGTATTTGTGAACGGGACTGCTTCCAGTGATCTTTCGTCGGAATTCTCGCCAGATTCGAGGAGATTACACGTGTCTGCGGAGGATGCTGAGGTGGATGAAATATGCTGCTTGCAAGCAATATTCGCGTTATAGCAACAGCGAGAGTGTAACTATCTTCCAGATTCTCTGCTCCTAAAATAATAACATACAGATTTGAAGGTGGCCATGAAGTCAGGATCATGTTTGGCCACAATGAACCGTGAAGTGCCTAGACTCCCAGAAAAATAATCTCCACATCTCCACCCAATGAGTGTTGGCAAGCAGTATCTCGCACCCCAGTGAAGATAGGAAGCAGATACCGTACGTCCTCATCGCCCGATCACATTGGCCAATCACACCCCGTTCAGATCATCAGCTCCATCTGGTCGCAGCACTCTCACCAGAGACCTAGCTTTAAGCACCATCTCTTCAAACTCACTCTCTGGTTGCGATAACATCACCACCGCCCCTCCTGCTCCAATCATCGTCCTGCCCTTTCGTCTGGCCCTCTTCCAATCCACAGCAGCCCTTCTTGCCCCATTCTCCCCCTTACCCTCTATCCATTCCTCTTCTCCACTCGCTCCTCCTCCGTCCCCTTCCCAGGCCTTCACTCCTCCCTCCTCTGCCTCCCCATCCTCCCCTGCCCGTGCCTCCCTCTCCAACACCACCCCCAGCTCTCCACCCATCACAGCCGTTCGAATCACAATATTCAAATCAAAGGTGCCCGAAAATGAAACGAACCCCAAGGCTCCCGAATAAGGTCCCCTCGCCGACCCTTCAATCTCATCCAGAATCTCCATAGATCTTATCTTTGGTGCCCCGGTCATCGAGCCGCCCGGAAACGCCGCCCGGATGCAGGCCAGTGGGGAGAGGTCCGGGCGGCGTTGCGCTGCTACAGTGCTCACGAGCTGGTGAACAGTGGCGTAGGATTCAACGGCCATGAGAGACGGGACGTGCACCGATCCGACGGTTGAGACTCGCCCGAGATCGTTCCGGAGAAGATCAACGATCATGAGGTTCTCAGCCCGGTCCTTGTCACTGACAGAAAAGGAGTGGTTGGGATGGGTTGGGAGGAATTGGAAGGATCAGAGAAAACAAAGTTGGACGAAAGGTGTGAGCATGGCAAACAAGAGAAAGTACAAATTTCAAGCCCCTTCATTGGAAATGATCTCCAGGTGTTACTCAGTTGCTCTCCCTTGAGCCGCTGCTCCTCCTCCTCCTCCTCCTCCTCCTCCTCCTCCTCCTCCTCCTCCTCCTCCTTCTCCTTCTCCTCCTCCTCCTCCTCCTCCTCCTCCTCCTCCTCCTCCTCCTCCTCCTCCTCCTCCTCCTCCTCCTCCTCCTCCTCCTCCTCCTCCTCCTCCTCCTCCTCCTCCGTCGCCCCATGCCCCATGGTGTTCTTGATGGGCTTCGCCCACAGCATGGCTATTCTACGTACATGCACTCGATTCCTCCCTCCTCTACCTCTTAAACACTCACCTGAGAAAGAGCTCTCCTTCAGCCGCTCATCCTCCGCTGTCGCCCCACACCTCACAGTGCCCTTAATGGGTTTCGCCCACTGCATGCTGTGCCTACCTGTCACCATAACCCCTCCCTCCTCTACCTCTTCTCTTTCTCACCTGCACATCAGCTCTCTCTTCAGCCACTCATCCTCCTCCTCCGTCGCCCCCCGCCTCACAGTGCCCTTGATGGGCTTCGCCCACAGCATGCCGTGCCTGTCGCCCCGCAGGAACCGCTCAGGAGAGGAGCAGCAGAGGGCAAAAGGGGAGCGGAGCACAGAGTGGTTTTGGTGGTGGCGGCGGCGGCGGTGGTGTTGGTGGTCGTGCCGCTGCTGCTGGTTCTCCTCTTCTTCCCCCACAAACTTTGGCTCTTTCCCCACTCCCTCCCCCTCGTCCTCCTCTTTCCCCCACTGCACTGTTCCGTCACTCAATTTTGGCTCCCCCACCTCACTCATGGAGTATGGACTTATCTCACCCATGCACATCCAAGCAGCAAACGGAGCAGGGTTCCTCTCCCTCAGCCGTAAATACGCCCCGAGCGGATGTGACGGCTGAGATTCACTCTCAAGGCGGGTGGTGAGGCACAGCTCATAGCTCTCTCCCTTGGCAATCTCCCCCAGGCACCGCGCTACATCAGCCTTGTACCGCTCTCTACACCTCTCCAGCACCAGGGGCTCTGACAGAACTGTGAGGCCCTCGGCATCTGCTCTTGCCGAATTCCCTCCAGCTGACTGTACTGCAAAGCCCCCTTCTACAGCTTCTCTCAAATGCACTGCCTCTGTGGCAGCCTCTACCTCTGCCCCACTCGCCTCAGAAACCCCTCTCTCCACCAAAGCCATCAGCTTCTCACTCGCCTCTGCCACCCATCTGCACCCATCCGTTTCCTTTCCACTCCCCCCCTCTGCTTCATCCCTGCTGCTGCCCCCTGCTGTCTCCCCACCTCCTCTCTCACCCTCCCCTCCTCCAGCCCCTCCCCATTCTCCCCTATCTGCACCGCACCGAAGCACATGAGCGGCATACGCACCGGCACTTGTACCACCGCCGCTGCAACTCCTGCTCTCGTTCCTACCCTCTCCTCTCCCCTCACCTATCTCCTCTCTTTCCCCACTTCTAAGCACATCTTTCCCCCTCTCCTCCTCTTTTTCCCCACCCTCTTCCCCCCTTCTACCCTCCTCCACAGCACACACATACACGTCCCCTCGCCCATGATCAAGCACCACCCATCGGTCCACACAGAAAAGAGCCGCGTCCGGGAAGGGCGACCTGTGGCGGTTGTGGTCTGCACCGCACTCCCTCTTCAGCTCGTACCTGCATGCGCGCAAGCATGCACAACAAGGCATGACACCATCAACTTAAAAGCCAACGACCTGCACTGCAGCAGCGACCTGCAGGAAAGGCTAAACAAGTTCTGAGACGTCTCGATTTTCGAGTTCTGAGACGTCTCAAAACACGAACTGCAGCAGCGACCTGCAGGCGAGGATAAACAGCAAGGCGTCGGATGGAAGGAACTGACCTTGAACTCACGGGCTTACCTGAAAAGAGGTGACTTGTGAGTCGACTCACAAGTCACCTCGTTTTGCGTCGATTCAAAAGTCACCTCGACCTGCAGGCAAGGCTAAACAGCAAGGTGCCGGATGGATGGAAGGATCTGACCTTCACCTCACGGGCTTGCCTGAAAAGGCACGATCGAAGCAAGCATCACTGCAGCACGAGTCATGACCCCGACCTATCCACTGGCTTACTCGAGACAGCCCATTCTTTGGCATTTTCCAAGTAGCCAACCCACTGGCTTACCCAACCATAATAGCCGACTCACTGAGCTACCCAAAATAGCTGATCCACTGGCTTACCCAAAATAGCTGATCCACTGGCTTACCCAAAATAGCCGACCCAGCCGCCACAGAAGTCGAAAGGCAGAACAGCCGCCTCGTGTGGTGCGCACTGGTGCTGCTGCAGGTGCTGTTGATGGGGGTTTGTTGTGTGGGGAGATAAGGGAATGATAAGAAGCAGGAACTGAGAATAAGAATGAGAATCATAAGAGAGAGGGGCTCGTGAGGTGGGTTGCACACTGGTGCTGCTGCAGGTACTGTTGATGGGGGGAAGGGTGGGAAGTCCGAGCGAGGGCATACAGAGGATGGAGGGGGGAGACAAGATTAAGGGATAGTAGAGTAGCAGCCTCCTGTGGTGCTGCTGCAGGTGCTGTCGGTGGGGGGAGGAGGGAGATTGAAGTGAGGAATGGGGATGGGTGGGTGCGTACGTAGTAGCCTGAACACCACTTCCCCATTCCTCATCCCCATTCCTCTTCCCCACTTGAACACCACTTCCCCATTCCTCATCCCCATTCCCCTTTCGATTAGTGCTCAGGTACGTGGTAGCAGGGATCGAAAATGAGCGATACCTGGGCACTAAGCCTGGTTGTTAACTTACCCTTATAATTACCCGACACGACTCAATGCCTTAGAAGCCCCTAGAAGCTCACCTCTTCGAGGAATCTAACGACGACACCCTCCCTCCCACGTCCCTTCCTTCACCATAGTCACATCACATTGCCTGAATGCTGCAAGCACAGCCTCCCAACACCATGTACCAAGAGCCCCTGGAAGCTTACCTCTTTGAGGAAGCTGAAAATGCCACCCTCCCACGTCCCTTCCTTCACCATAGTCACATCACATCGCCTGAATGCTGCAAGCACAGCTTCACAACACAACTCCATGCTTGCAGTTAAGGGCCCCTAGATGCTCACCTCGTCGAGAAAGCTGAATATGCCGCCCTCCCATGTGCCTTCCTTCACTATAGTCACATCGCCCTCACTGCTCTCCAATTGGAGAGTGCCGCCCGTGACTCTATCGAATGTGACACCCCCGTTTAATGTAGGCTGGCTTCTGCTGCTGCTGCTACGATTGCTGCTGTTGCTGCTGCTGTTGCTGCTGCTGCAGCTACCGTTGCTGCTGTTGCTGTTGCTGCTGCTGCTGCTGCTACCGTTGTTGTTGCTGCTGCTGCTGCTACCGTTGCTGCCATTGTTACGATTGTCGTTAGTATTCGCGCCGCTGCGACAGCTGCTTCTACTGCTATCGTTGCTGCTAATGTCAGGGTTAACACTTCTGTTGCTACTGCTGCTACTCCTACTGCTGCTACTATTTCCACTGGCAGGGCTGTGCCCCCTGTTGCTGTTGCTGCTGTCAGGTTCAGTGTTACTAGTGCCGTTGCTTGCACTGCCTTTGCCGCTCCCATTCTCTGTGTGGCTCGGCAAAGGACGTTCGGCTGGCAACTGAGGTGCTGCTGTCAAACGAGGTTCGGCTGCCAGCGGAGGTTCGGCTACCAAAGGAGGTTCGGCAGCCAGTTGGTACGTGAGTTTGGACCAGAGGGGACCCCCCCGGCCACCCATGTAGGAGAAGCGCGCCAAGCCCTGCAAGGAGCAGATGGAAAGAAGATGAGACAGTATGATGAGGGCAGTTATAGAGGGCAAGAGAAGGAGAACGGAGGGTCAACTGGCAGTGGTAACCAGCAGTTCACATGTGAGCTAGGAACAGAAGGGAATCCCTCGTGCTCTCATGTAGGAGAACCGTGTGCGAATGCATTGTTACAAGCACACGCACCTGGTGGCACCTAGTGGGCATCTATCTCGTGGCACCTACTGTCGCAAGCGCACACACCTGGTGTGTGGATGCGCTGTCAAGCCAGAAAGTGTCGGAGTGGCTGTCTCTCCCCTTGCTGGGCGACAATACACCCGTTCTATCCTAGCCAGCTGGCCTTCAGATGGTGCATGAAAGGGGCCTGGTGTGTGTGTGTGTGTGTGTGTGTGTGTGTGTGTGTGTGTGTGTGTGTGTGGAGGGGAACACACCTGGTGTGTGGATGCGCTGTCAAGCCAGAAAGTGTCGGAGTAGCTTTCCCCTTGTTCGGCGAATAGATGGGTGAAGATAGCCGCTGCTGCTCGTGACGATGCTGATGCTGATGCTGATGGTGGTGCGGACGGTGATGGTGATGATGCTGCTGATGGTGTTGCTGCTGCAGCTAGTGCGTCACTCAATCTGTGAAGAAATCCGTCGAGCCGAGTTACTTTCAGAACAAGGGGTTTTGGAGGGGAGAAGAATACTGTTGATGATGCTGATGTTGCTGCTGATGCTGATTCTGAAATTGATTCTGATGATGATGTTGCTGCTGATGCTGATGGTGATGACTGTATTAATCCGCTTAGTAACGATGGTGGCAGCCCCGTAGAAGATGCAGCCCACCAACCATTCCCTCTCTTGTGTCGCATCCTCGTGGCCTCAACATTATTACCGCCCGAATCTCTGCCGCCCAGATCCAAGTCTCTGCCGCCCAGATCCAAGTCTCTGCCGCCCAGATCCATGTCTCTGCCGCCCAGATCCATGTCTCTGCCGCCCAGATCCATGTCTCTGCCGCCCAGATCCATGTCACTGCCGCCCAGATCCATGTCTCTGCCACCCAGATCCATGTCTCTGCCGCCCAGATCCATGTCTCTGCCGCACACCATAGAGCCGTCTCTGGCCGGCACACACAGCTGGGCGGCAGATAGGGGGTGGAGAGCAGGGAAGGCAATGGTAATGGCATGAGATGCATGTAATGGCATGAGATGCATGTAATGGGAAAGTAATAAGGGCATCGCACTTGTGCGGCAAAAAGAGAGCATACAGCTCTGAGTCGAAATCTCTTGCCTTTGAGACTGAATCTTCACGGTCAACAATAGTGGAAATGCATTGCAAGCACAGCACAATCCCAGAATAGATGGACTGAAGGTTTTGATTAAAACCAGGAGTGAACCCGTTTCGGTAGAAAGAGAGTAGAGAGCCTTGCTTTACCTTTCTTGGCTTTGATAGTGAGATTCTCGTGTAGAGTATACGCGTAGTGAGTGGATGACAAGAACGGGGTAGCCACCAGACAGGGTGCACTCAGGTTTGGAGGGAGAGCATGTAAGAGATGGCATAGAACCTGAGATTGCAACTGTCGCAATGCTTACCCATGCCATCAAATCTAGTTGCGTTTCTAGTAGACTCAAAAGTGTGCTTTGCGTTGACTAGATAGGTGTGCGTGTGCTTTTGAGTCGACCCACAAGGTGTGCTTTGAGTCGACTCAGAAGTTGGAGGAGAGCGGATGACAGAGAGGGTGCAGTTGGTCGCGATACTTACCCGCGCCATCAAATCAAGCTGCGAACGCAACGCCCCACCTCCTGTTGCTGCCCCCACTGCACATATTTCTAATGTTTCTGCTACTTTCGTTGTTGCTGCTGGCGGCGCTGCTGCTGATGCTGCTGCTGCTCCTACAGCTATCTTGGCAGAACCATTTCGGCTCATGGCCCCCACGTCAACTCCTGTCTCCCTCACCCTCTCCCATTCTTTGCTCCTCTCTCGCCCTTCTCCCCTCTCCCTCTCTTCGCTCTGCCTCCCCCTCTCCCTAATCGCCCTCACTGCAAGAGCCTTAAAGTTTTTCAGCAGTTGCCGCCCAAATGACGTGCCGATGCTCTCGGGATGAAACTGTGGAGACGAGAAAAAGAGGAGGCAGAAAACGGAGAAGGCAGAAAACGGAGGAGGGGAGAAGCGGATGAGGGAAGAGACGGAGGAACAGAGACCCCAACCAACCCAAATGCGTTGCGTTGCATGCATCATGCAACGTGACGTGATACTTGCAATACAATACCCACAAGCATGTGGGAGTGAAGTGAATTGACTCACAATATTATCCATCCATAACCGCCAGCCAGCAACTCACCTGCACCCCCACGTGTGGCCGTCTCTTGTGTGCCAGACCCATAATCACTCTATTCGACTGCTGCTCCTGCTGCTGCTCCTGCTGCTGCTCCTGTTGATAACACTGACGTGGTGCCACCATCCCGTTCACAACCACAGCGTTCCCACTTGGCGCTCCTGTCCCCACATCACCTCCTGGCTCCGTACCCCTACAAGCCCCGTTCACAACCACCTCTGCTCCTGCAATCATTGCCCCATTCGCTGCCTGTGCGCCCCCAACAGAACTTGGTGTGGCTGCTGGTGCCCCAGGTGAGGCGATGTGGGTGGAGAGAGGGTCATTGGTGGTCCAGGCGATGGGTTCTAAGTCGGTGGGAAGTGAAATCGCATCGACAGCAAGGGAGTGATAGCGCACCACCTGCAGAGCACACATGCAGATGACGGTGGATGGGGGTGGGGGGGGGGGGAGAGTGAGAAGGTGAAAAGAGGGTCATTGGTGGTCCAGGCGATGGGTTCTAAGTCATTGGGAAGAGTAGACCAGTGGACAGCAAGGGAGTGATAGCGCACCACCTGCATGGGAGAGCGGAAGGGAGGGGGAGAGAGTAAAGGAGGTGAAAAGAGGATCATTGGTGGTCCAGGCGATGGGTTCTAAGTAGTTGGAAAGGGAGGCCCAGTGGACAGCAAGGGAGTGATAGCGCACTACCTGTGGTGTATGCACGCAGCACGGAAGCATGGCGGGGGATGGGGGAGAATGAGCAGGTGGAGAGAGAGGATGACTTGTTATACGCAAGTAGATTTTGGGAACTCAAGAATAAGTTGCATTAGCTGGGAGAGGTGGAGAGGAGAGGCACCTGGAAAAGAGGGCCAGACGGAATGTTGGCGAAGAGAGGATGACCCGTGTGCTCCACGCCACTGCATGTATGTGACAGCATCAGCATGGGATGGGAAAACAGAAAGAATGTTCTAGAAAGGGCAGTCTGGAAAGAATGGAGAGATTTGATCTGAACACCGAAAACGTGAGTCACTTTTGAAAACCATAAAAAAATGATGTTCAAGGTGTGTATGCATGCATGCACCCTGAACATTACGCCACACCTACCTGCACAGGCCTCCCATCCATGAAATGCATGCATGGCTCTGGAGCCGGCATCACCATGCCTCCATTCGATTCGTTTCAATGACACGCCATGGCATGCCACGCCACGCCACGCCACGCCACGCCACGCCACGCCACGCCACGCCACGCCACGCCACGCCACGCCACGCCACGCCACGCCATGCCACGCCACGCCACGCCACGCCATGCCACGCCACGCCACGCCACGCCACGCCACGCCACGCCATGCTTCGTACGACACTCGGTGCATACCAGAACCTCCCATGCACAGGCCCCCTGGTGCTGACAGCACCCGGCCTTCGAACAGTCATGCCATGCCATGCCATGCCATGCAGAGCCACGCTATACCACCCACTTGATGCATACGAGAGCCTCCCATGCACGGGCTCTGGTGCCGACACCACCTGGCCTCCATGGATATCAGATCAATAATGTGTAATGCCATACCATGCCATGCCAAACCACGCTATGCCATGCCATGCCAAACCACGCCATGCCATGCCATGCCAAACCACGCCATGCCATGCCATGCCATGCATCACATGCTTTGTACACCACCCGGCGCATACCTGAGCCTTCCATGCACAGGCTCTGGTGCGGGCACCACCTGGCCTCCGGTGAATGCCATGCCTTGCCATGCCATGCCATGCCATGCCATGCTCACTAGGCTTGGCATACATCAACCTGAAGGCTATGCCACACACACTGTGCGTGCATACCTGAGCCTTCCATGCACAGGCTCTGGTGCTGGCACCACCTGGCCTCCGTTCAGGGCTGCCAGGGCCTGTATGAACCAGCAGAGAGGCAAGCAATATTGGCAGCAGTGGCAGGAGTGGCAGCAGGCAGGTAGGCCAGCGGGGAGAGGCACCGTAGACGAGGGACGCATTTGAGATGAGATACCAACAGGCTACTGCAGAAAACATGATGATGAGGCATGAAGAATGAATGCGCGTAGAGAGGGGCAAGGCAAGATTGACACTGTGGATAGCAAGCATACATCGCCGACATAAAATGCTGGTTATTTGTACCTGATAATGGCCATGCACACTCAAAAGCCTTTGTATCTTTACCGACTAAATAACTGCTGTCCGTACCTGATGGCCCATGCACACTCCGAGAATCGGGAACACTCCCTTAGCACGTCCGCACACACTCCTGCTCACGCGCCATGCAGTCAGCCAGCCACTCACACACACACATACACAGTGGCAGCAGGGAGACACGGAGTATGAAAAAGAAGAGAGTCTAGACCGCTAGTGCACGTCCGCACACACTCCGGTTCACAAGCCAAGCCGAATCAACCAACCACCGGCAGACACAAGCACAGGCAACCAGACCGCCAGCCACACGCACACAGCAACAGGGAGGAAAAGACAGGTCATGAATACGACACAGCACAGCACAGCACACACCGATAACCACACACCAACAACAGCACTGCACACTAACCACACACGCACGCACCGATATGGGCGGCACAGCAGGGTGTGCCGGGGCCGGGCGAGATGACGATGGAGTGGAAGAGGCGCTGATGCAGCAGCAGGTGGCGATGGGAGTGCAACACAGCACAATGCCCGTGCACCAGTGACAGCACAGCAACCCACAGCACAGCAACCCACAGCACAGCAACCCACAGCACAGCAACCCACAGCACAGCAACCCACAGCACAGCAACCCACAGCACAGCATTCTACTTAGCCACGCACCGATATCAGCAGCGCAGCAGGGCGTGCCGGGGCCGGGCGAGATGACAATAGAGTGGAAGAGGCGCTGGTGTAGCAGCAGGTGCCTGAGGTACTCCCAAGATACCTCGTTGTTTCTCACCACCACTGGGGGGACTGCAGGTGGGTGGGATGGGACATGGGGAGACAGAGAGGGAGAGGATTGTATGCAGGAAGATGCGTAAAGAGAGAGGAAGAGACAGTGGTGCAGCAGCAGGTCGTTGGGGTACGACGACCATGGCACCTCGTACAAATTGAAACACCCATGTATGCATGCACCTCCAGTCACATGCATCTATGCATCCATTCATCTATGCATCTATGCATCCATGCATCCATGCATCCATGCATCTATGCATCCATTCATCCATGCATCCATGCATCTATGCATCCATTCATCCATGCATCCATGCATCCATGCATCCATCCATCCATCCATCCATCCATCCATCCATCCATCCATCCATCCATCCATCCATCCATCCATCCATCCATCCATCCATCCATCCATCCATCCATCCATCCATCCATCCATCCATCCATCCATCCATCCATCCATCCATCCATCCATCCATCCATCCATCCATCCATCCATCCATCCATCCATCCATCCATCCATCCATCCATCCATCCATCCACCCACCCACCCATCCACCCACGCACGCACCTCCATTCACGTCGGCTAGCAAGTGGTAGAGGTTGAAGGTGTAGCTGTCATAGTTGTCAATCAGCAACGTCCTCATTACAAACTGATCCGCTTCAGTGTCACCTTCCCCAGTATCGTCCTCGTACATCCCCGTCCCCTGCAATCCCTCACTCGGACAGTTACCACACGACTCCACACGCTTATCTGTGCCCTGCTGCCCCTCTCTCTGCACCTCATCTTCCTCCACTGGTTTCTCTCTCAATCTGCTCCCATCTGCCTCCAAACGGCGATCCCTGGGATTCCCTGGCGTAGGTTCCGCAGAAGCTTCGGCGATGACGGGTACGTCAGCACTGACGTCACTCCTGCTTCTACACGAACCGTTACTGCCGCCACTGGCCTTGACACTGCCACTGTGGCCAATCGCTACGGGGATCAGGCGCCCCCGTGACGTCAGTCCTGCCTTGGGACTACCGCTGTGGCTGAGCCGTGAAGAAAGAAATCGTTCCCCTGTGGCTGTGGGCAATCTTGAAAGGGGTGCAGCTGTGGGGCTGAGAGGCGGGTTACGCGATCTGCGTGTAGCGACGCGGGTCCAGCTTGCAGGGTTGTAGTCGCGAAGTGATTGTATCGAAGGACGAGCAGCAATTGGTCTACAGACAGCTGCTGGTTGCAGGCTTCTTTTGCGAATACTCGTTATAAGCCTAGAACACGAGGAGCGAGAAAGGAGTGTGCTACAGGCAGCTTCTGGTGCGCCGAGCCCTACGGGATGCTGCGACGTAAGACACGTGGAAGCCATGAGGGAAGGATTTCGCGTATTAGAAAACTTAATTGCGAACTAGATGGTGTCTTTAAGGAGAAACCACCGCCATTACTCTTCTATCTTGTGCCTGCTTCTTTTCCTGCCTCTGCTTTAATGCACCAACGGATGGCTCGACGTGCGGCAGATGGAAGGCATCGAAGGAGGGACGAGCCACTGTCCTAAGCTAGCTCACCGACGCGCGTCGTGAGAGTGAGACGTTGCACAACACTTGTGATTCAGTGCAATAGCAGATCATTTTCGGCATGCGCCAAAAGGAGGTCATGAAGGAGAGATGAGCCACGGCCCTAAGCGAGCACCGCACGCGAGTCACGCGATCAACGCGCTGACGGGATCAGCCGCCGTGAACTACGGATGACGTGACACCAGCACCTGATGACGATGACGATGACAGCGCAACGAGAGGTTGGCACTGCTACACGATCATATGGCTACGTACGCGTTATTACACGTATCTCGTCGCGAGGTGTTGTCAAAGGAAGGCCTGGTTCGGTTTGCCTCTGGATCATTTCTGTTACGGGGTTGTATGCGGCTGGACAGGGTGCAGAAGTTTTTTGCTTGAACCTGGCGTGGTTGAGGGTCGAACTTCCATCCTCGGATTACATGCCTGCGACCCTCGGGAAGATCCGCGTTTTGATGTAGTCCACGAAACGTGCAAGAAAGCAGCAAAGGTTTCTCGGTCCATCTTGAATAGTACGTTGAACTACGGTGATAGAAGTTACGCGACGGTTCTTGTGATTCACTTCTCGGTGCTCTCGAACTTGAGCATCCAATCAGGCCGTACAGAGTACGAGGGCATCCATTCATTGACAGATCACGCCCAGCACTGGCTCTGACCTCCTTCCTCCACCATTACCTTCTACAACACACGTTTTCTCTTCAGGCTTTTCCCACGTATCCTAGCATTCGTTGCGATTCAGATGTGGTATGTGTTTTAGTACGGTTTAAGGATATTCGCATCAGACTTTACATAGATGCCCACCTTTCTAAGACCCTACCTCCAACAGACCCTACCTCCATTTCTAGTTCTTCACAGCAAGTTAGCGTAGAATCTTCCTATCACTTTTGGTCATCTTGCTCCGTCAAAGCATCCCGGATCGCTTGCCATCTTGCCAGGTGCGTGAGCGGGCTTACGGTGATCAGTAAGCTGCGTCCGAGTCACGCCTTCAGAAGCCGCGCAGTCTATCGTCCCAAACGTACACACCTGATAGAGGTCGAGTCACGAGGTGCTTTGTGGTTTAGCGTGTTCGGTTCTGCATCTAGAACGGTTGGTTTGGGTATTGAGCGAATGCGAGTGTTTGGTTACACGCCCTAGCAGCCCTTTTCTTTCGCTAGCAGCCGCTCAGCTCTGCGTCGTCGCCATCTGCACTCGCGCCTTACTGCAGTTACTCTCAAAACATTCGCAATAGTGACTTCGTCACGTTGCTACCTGGTTTCTCTGTTCATCGCCGCTTCAATCAAATCTGTCGCAACTGTCGCATTTAATCTGTCGCAACGGACGCGTTTCATTCATCGATCGCCTCACTGCGCGTCAGTTGCGTCAGATCAGCGTTCTCGCGCCTCTTCCTCCTCGCTCTTTTGAGTGAACTCGCATTCTTCCTGCTGCTTCGCGCTTAGCCCCGTTACTTCCCTCTGCCTACTCGCATCACGGCCGTCTTTCTCCCACCTACGCTTTCTTCATTCCTCCCCACACTTTCTTCCATTTATGCTCTTTCTCCCCTCTCCCTCCCCCCTCTCCCTTTCCCCTCTCCTCTCCCCTCTCCCTCTCCCCACTCCCTCTCCCCTTTACCTCTCCCGTCTCCTTCTCTCCTCTTCCTCTCCCCTCTCCTCTCCTCTCTCCCACTCCCCTCTACCCCCCCGCCCTGCCCTCCACTTCTCCCTTCTCCTTCCCCCCCCTTCCTCTCCCGTCTCCTACTCCCCTCTCCTTCTACCCTCTCCTTCTCCCCTCTCCCCTCTCCTCTCTCCCCTCTCTTCTCTCCCCTCTCTCCTCTCCCCTCCCCTCTCCCCCTCCCCTCTCCCCCTCCCCTCTCCTTCTCCCCTCTCCTCCCCCCCCCACCTCCCGCCTTCTCCCTCCTCATCCACTGCCACATGTTCATTCGCAGCCCTCTGGCCCGCGGGAATCCAGCAAACGAACGTGACTTCCCTCCACTGCTGCACGCACATTCGCAAAATCGCTGTAGCCAATACCGCATCAGTCGATGGCGAATCCCGCGTTTCAGGGAGGTCCCTTGCCCCACGAGCTAGACGTGCGGGGAATGCTGCAGCTGGCGAGGCAGAGGGTGGACGAGGGGCAACCCTCCGCGGCCCTGCAACTGGTGAGCCTTTTGTGCCCTGCAGGGAACCATCACAGCTCCCCCCGCCCCTCTCCCCTCGCCCCACGGGATGGACGTGCGGGAATGCTGCAGCTGGCTCGACAGAGGGTGGACGAGGGACAACCGACCGCTGCCCTGCAACTGGTGAGCCTCTGCCTTTCAACCGGTTAGCATCTGTGGTTTGAGTCGACTCAAAACACACCTCGCCCCACGGGCTGGACGTGCGGGGCATGCTGCAGCTGGCGCGGCAGGTGGATGAGGGACAGCCGTCTGCTACCTTGCAATTCGTGAGCTCTTCCCATCGAACCCCATTTAGAGGCCATGGTTCAATGCGTGGCAGCAAGTAATTAGAGTATGACACCAGAGTAGGTGAAAATGTTGGTGTTTGTGTAGGATGAGGGTGGGTGGATGAGGGACAGCCGTCTGCTACCTTGCAATTCGTGAGCTCTTTGAGCCGACTCGACTCAAAACACACCTCGCCGCAACGGCTGGACATGCAGGAAATGCTGCAGCTGGTGCGACAGAGGGTGAATAACGACAGCCCTCCGCTGCCTTGCAATTGATAAGCCTGCTGTGTCGCGGCAACTAGTGAACCTGCAAAGGCCCACCACAATCCGCCTTCGCCCCTCGCCCCCCATTTCTCGCCCCTCGTTTCTCGCCTCTCGCCCAGCTGCCTGCCTGCTCTGACGGCCACCCAACTAAGTTGGGCTGAACTTATCTGGGGGGTAACCTTCAGAGCTTCCAGTGTCCAGAGGCTGGACGCATCCACACACCCACACGCTGGATGCCTGGCCAGAGTTTTTGGGGGCAGCCCAAATCATTATTACCATAATTTTTAATATTATTATTGTTATTATTTGAAATCATTATTGTTATTATGGGAAATTATTAATGTTTTACGACGAGTGATCGGAGCGCCATTTGCATCGTTGCCCTCCCCTTCACCATTACCAGGTGTAGGCCTTTTTTTCTGCTAAGTATATTTCTTCCTTCTTTTGAAGTAAAACCTTCCTCCCCTTTCTTCCCCCCTCCCATCCGCCCATCCCCCTCAGATCATAGCATTGCTGAGAGAGCAGGGCGGGAAGGCAGCAGTGCTGGCAACAATGTGTTTTCGAGGTGCCTCAAAAACAGAGTCCTGCCTCCCTGCCTCCCATCCTCCGCCCAACCACCCTCAGATCATAGCAGTGTTGAGAGCGCAGGGCGGGGAGGCAGCAGTGCTGACGGCACTAACTCAAGCCCGAGCCATGCACCACAACCAGCAGCAGATGCAGCAGCTACAGCAGGGAGCTGATGACATCACCGCCTTGCTGGCACGCTGCGCCATCGGCAGCGCTGACGTGGCAGTGCCAGCTGGCACCGGGCAGATGGCGGCGGGGGGGAGTGCGATGGCATGGGGAGGTGGAGACGTGGGTATAGGAGGGAGCGGCATGGGGAGCAACAGCATAGGAGAGCAACGTGGGGAAGGAGCAATGAACGGGGGAATGGAAGGAGTAGACGGATATGCCTTCCATTCTGGGTATGGATCAACACGGTCAGCAAGGTATGGAATGCAAGCAACAGCAGCAGGGTATGGGATGGATCAAGCAGGGAGGCAAGGGATAGTCCCAGCAGCAGCAGCATATGGGATGGAGTCAGCAGGGAGGCATGGGGTGGATGGGGAGGCGATACTGGCGGAGCAGGGGCGCATGCAGGTGGTGGCGGATGCAGCAGCGGATGGCAGCAGTGTGACGTGCAGCGTTTGCCGGGGGGTGATAAGTGGGGCACGGTGGAAGGAGCACGTGCAGTTCTGGTGCAGAGCCGCTGTGCACGACCCCGTGGGGGATAACAGCAGTCTTTCTCCTTGACTTGTGCAGTGCAGAGTGCTAGACTCTAGGAGACGGTATAAGATGTCATTTTCTTGTATGCTGGGGGGTCATCAGCAGGGCATGGTGGAAGGAGAGGAGCACGTGCAGTTCTGGTGCCGGGCTGCTGTGCACGATCCTACGGGTGCGATCCTACGGGTGCGATCCTACGGGTGCGATCCTATGGGTGCGATCCTATGGGTGCGATCCTATGGGTGCGATCCTATGGGTGCGATCCTATGGGTGCGATCCTATGGGTGCGATCCTATGGGTGCGATCCTATGGGTGCGATCCTATGGGTGCGATCCTATGGGTGCGATCCTATGAGTGATAGCAGTAGTCTTTCTCCTTGACTTCACTCGTTTGGAGTGCGAGGCAGGCATTAAGGGGCATGTGTTAGAGCATATGGAATGGCTGCCTGTGCCGGGGGGTGGTCAGTGGGGCGCGGTGGAAGGAGCACGTGAAGTAGCCGCTGTGCACGACCCCTTGGAGGATAGTACCAGCCTTTCGCCGTGACTTGACTCGTGTGGAGTGGCAGGCAGGCACTGGGGGGCACGTGTTTGGGCGTATGGCATGGCTGCATGTACCGGGGGTTGATCAATGGGGCACGGTGGAAAGAGCACGTGCAGTTCTGGTGCTGGGCTGCTGTGCACGATCGCATGGGTGATTGCGGCTGTTGGCCTTGACTGCTTGTCTCTGAAGAGCTCAACGGTTGTACTCACTGCCACTTGGACACATACAGTTCATTTGTCATTTGTGGGAACTTATGCTATGCTGTTGGCGTGGTTCGTCCTGGAAATAGAGTCCTTCCAGTTTGGCTGTATGTAGAAACTTCACATCATGCCACCAGCTCAACAGGTTATGATATGAAAATGGGAAAAATCAGGGTACATCAGTGCAGAAAGGATAATCAAGAACCATTAATGAATTTTGCAAATATCAGGTATCAATAGTTTAGGTGTAAACAGTTTCCTGATTGGTTAGAGATTTTCCAGCCATTCCGTACTCCAAATGACTACACTTTCGACTCCAATTGTGCGTTGACCCACGCCTTGAATCCAGCCGAAGAATTTCAACGAGTTGTCGGTTGCACCACACCCAAATGCGTTGTCCGAGCTCCAAGCGCTCTCAACCACCAAGCCCAAACAAGACCACCACCCAAACACCACGACACATGACCACTGAGGACGCGGTAAAAGTAGACGATCGATCGTCAGTCGCGATTGATGTGCGGATTGGTTACCCTATTTACTACGCTGTAACCATGCTACCGTACGCTTTTTGGCCCAATTTTTTGTACAGTCTGTGAAAGCGACTGATCATTGATCGCGGGAGATCTGTCAAATCTCAGTAGCGATCGTTACAACGTCGCGATCGCCGTGTTTCGCAAATCGATCTGCCCAATCGATTGCGAGGATCGATATGTGCAGACGATCCTGCGATATTTGCACTTTTACCGCGTCATAACCATACCAAACCCCACCCTCTCACGAAACGAAGTGCAATTTTCTCCGCTTGTTGACCAGTCAAACCGCGTCTCGGGAGCCACCTATTCGCCAGTCAACGCCCAACCCCCGATTCGAGGAATGCATGTGCGATGCGAAACCTGCTGCCTAAAACTGCGCCCGTCAATCCCTCCATCACTTTCACAATCGAATCTCAATTTTCGCTATCTTCTCTCCATCTCAATCTATCTCGTCTGGTTTTGTTAGACAGACCTCCTGATCTCGAGAACCATGGCAGTCAGGGCACTTCTCATAGTTTGCATTGCGCTCCTCATTGCGACTCCCGCGGCGACTCAGCGTGGTCCTCCTGGCGGTGGACCTCCTGGGGGCCAGCAGCCCGGGGGGACGCGCGGAGGACCTGGCGGGCCTGGCGGATCTGGCGGACCCGGCTGGCCTGGCGGGCCTGGCGGGCCTGGCGGACCAGATGGCCCGCGCGGTCCTCCGCTCAATCTGACGTTCGTCGGAAATCTGACGGGGGACGCTAGTGCGCGATTGGCTAACTGCTCGGCGGACCCAACATTTTTCGACGGCCGGTTTCACCTCGCCATCTTCAAGTGAGCTTCGGGGATCTTCAACGAAACCCTAAAATTCGTAGGGTATTATTGTCGCCGCGCGTCTTATCTGTCATTTTACGCGTCCCATGTTTATGCTGTGTCGCATACTTCTCTTCGTTCCCATCGTTCCTCCGTTATCTCATCCCGTTCCTCGCCGCTTTCACCCTCCGCCCCGCTTTCCCCCTTCCCCTCCGCCAGAAACGCGAGCGGCTGTTAGAAGGAAATGCTGCCATAGGCAACAAAATGTCTACGCTCGGATTCGAACTCGTGACCTTCAAATCTGTCCTGAAAGTGTCTCAGGACAGATTCAGGACAGTTTCTGCTAAGGCGCTGGTTATGGTGTACACGAGTTTCGAATTGGAACCTTTCGATTCAAGTGTCCCGAAAGTGTCTTGTCATGACAGATTGGGGACAGTTTGGGGACAGATTGGAGACAGTTTGACACCGCTAGCCACACAACACAACTCTTCCCACCGGCCCTAGCTACTCTGTACCCAGCAAGAATCAGAAATAGATCACAACAGTGCAAAGCCGCCAGCAGCACCGCCACTACATCAGGCAGCAACGGAGGGCAGTTTGACGCCCATGAGCCAACGAGCTGCCCGCCCCATCCAACACCCCTCGCAGTGGCAGTGCAAAGCCGCCAGCAGGAGCAGCACTCCATCACATCAGGCAACCACGGAGGGCAGTTTGACGCCCATGAGCCAACGAGCTGCCCGCCCCACGCAACACCCCTCGCAGTGGCAGTGCAAAGCCGCCAGCAGCAGCAGCACTCCATCACATCAGGCAGCCACGGAGGGCAGTTTGACGCCCATGAGCCAACAAGCTGCCCGCCCTATGCAACACCCCTCGCAGTGGCAGTGCAAAGCCGCCAGCAGGAGCAGCACTCCATCACATCAGGCAGCCACGGAGGGCAGTTTGACACCCATGAGCCAACGAGCTGCCCGCCCCACACAACACCCCTCGCAGTGGCAGTACAAAGTCGCCAGCAGCAGTAGCACTCCATCACATCAGGCAGCCACGGAGGGCAGTTTGACGCCCATGAGCCAACGAGCTGCCCGCCCTATGCAACACCCCTCGCAGTGGCAGTGCAAAGCCGCCAGCAGCAGCAGCACTCCATCACATCAGGCAGCCACGGAGGGCAGTTTGACGCCCATGAGCCAACGAGCTGCCCGCCCCACACAACACCCCTCGCAGTGGCAGTGCAAAGCCGCCAGCAGGAGCAGCACTCCATCACATCAGGCAGCCACGGAGGGCAGTTTGACGCCCATGAGCCAACGAGCTGCCCGCCCCACGCAACACCCCTCGCAGTGGCAGTGCAAAGACGCCAGCAGCAGCAGCACTCCATCACATCAGGCAGCCACGGAGGGCAGTTTGACGCCCATGAGCCAACGAGCTGCCCACCCCACGCAACACCCCTCGCAGTGGCAGTGCAAAGCCGCCAGCAGCAGCAGCACTTCATCACATCAGGCAGCCACGGAGGGCAGTTTGACGCCCATGAGCCAACGAGCTGCCCGCCCCACGCAACACCCCTCGCAGTGGCAGTGCAAAGCCGCCAGCAGGAGCAGCACTCCATCACATCAGGCAGCCACGGAGGGCAGTTTGACACCCATGAGCCAACGAGCTGCCCGCCCCACGCAACACCCCTCGCAGTGGCAGTGCAAAGCCGCCAGCAGCAGCAGCACTCCATCACATCAGGCAGCCACGGAGGGCAGTTTGACGCCCATGAGCCAACGAGCTGCCCGCCCCACGCAACACCCCTCGCAGTGGAAGTGCAAAGCCTCCAGCAGCAGCAGCACTCCATCACATCAGGCAGCCACGGAGGGCAGTTTCGCGCCCATGGGCCAACGAGCTGCCCGCCCCACGCAACACCCCTCGCAGTGGCAGTGCAAAACCGCCAGCAGCAGCAGCACTCCATCGCATCAGGCAGCCACGGAGGGCAGTTTGACGCCCATGAGCCAACGAGCTGCCCGCCCTATGCAACACCCCTCGCAGTGGCAGTGCAAAGCCGCCAGCAGGAGCAGCACTCCATCACATCAGGCAGCCACGGAGGGCAGTTTGACGCCCATGAGCCAACGAGCTGCCCGCCCCACACAACACCCCTCGCAGTGGCAGTGCAAAGCCGCCAGCAGCAGCAGCAGCACTCCATCACATCAGGCAGCCACGGAGGGCAGTTTGACGCCCATGAGCCAACGAGCTGCCCGCCCCACGCAACACCCCTCGCAGTGGCAGTGCAAAGCCGCCAGCAGCAGCAGCACTCCATCACATCAGGCAGCCACGGAGGGCAGTTTCGCGCCCATGAGCCAACGAGCTGCCCGCCCCACGCAACACCCCTCGCAGTGGCAGTGCAAAGCCGCCAGCAGCAGCAGCACTCCATCACATCAGGCAGCCACGGAGGGCAGTTTGACACCCATGACCCAACGAGCTGCCCGCCCCACGCAACACCCCTCGCAGTGGCAGTGCAAAGTCGCCAGCAGCAGCAGCACTCCATCACATCAGGCAGCCACGGAGGGCAGTTTGACGCCCATGAGCCAACGAGCTGCCCGCCCCACGCAACACCCCTCGCAGTGGCAGTGCAAAGCCGCCAGCAGGAGCAGCACTCCATCACATCAGGCAGCCACGGAGGGCAGTTTGACGCCCATGAGCCAACGAGCTGCCCGCCCCACGCAACACCCCTCGCAGTGGCAGTGCAAAGCCGCCAGCAGCAGCAGCACTCCATAACATCAGGCAGCCACGGAGGGCAGTTTGACGCCCATGAGCCAACGAGCTGCCCGCCCCACACAACACCCCTCGCAGTGGCAGTGCAAAGCCGCCAGCAGCAGCAGCACTCCATCACATCAGGCAGCCACGGAGGGCAGTTTCGCGCCCATGAGCCAACGAGCTGCCCGCCCCACGCAACACCCCTCGCAGTGGCAGTGCAAAGCCGCCAGCAGGAGCAGCACTCCATCACATCAGGCAGCCACGGAGGGCAGTTTGACACCCATGAGCCAACGAGCTGCCTGCCCCACGCAACACCCCTCGCAGTGGCAGTGCAAAGTCGCCAGCAGCAGCAGCACTCCATCACATCAGGCAGCCACGGAGGGCAGTTTGACGCCCATGAGCCAACGATCTGCTCGCCCCATGCAACACCCCTCGCAGTGGCAGTGCAAAGCCGCCAGCAGGAGCAGCACTCCATCACATCAGGCAGCCACGGAGGGCAGTTTGACGCCCATGAGCCAACGAGCTGCCCGCCCCACGCAACACCCCTCACAGTGGTAGTGCAAAGCCGCCAGCAGCAGCAGCACTCCATCACATCAGGCAGCCACGGAGGGCAGTTTGACGCCCATGAGCCAACGAGCTGCCCGCCCCACGCAACACCCCTCGCAGTGGCAGTGCAAAGCCGCCAGCAGCAGCAGCACTCCATCACATCAGGCAGCCACGGAGGGCAGTTTGACGCCCATGAGCCAAAAATAAGGCAGTTCCCCTTCCGTGTGACACAAAAATATGATGTCGTCAACGTACGGGATGACTCGTACCCCGAGGGCCCGCCAGCGGCGGGCGAGCTGCTTGATAAATTGCGTGAATACAAATGGGGCCGTCGCGAGGCCGAAAGGGAGTGACCGAAAGACGTATGAGCGCCCGTCGAATTGGAATCCCAGGTACTTCCAGCATGACGGATGGATGTCGACGTGGTGGTATCCTGATTTGAGGTCGACAGCGAACATCCAATCGCCTATGCTGACGAGCTCCGCCACCCGCTTCAATCCCTCGTACTTGAATTTGGGGATGCTCAGATTTTGGTTTACTCTTCTGAGGTCAAGAATCAGTCGGCACTTGTCTCTTTGAACCACCACATTTAGTGGACTGATGCAGAGCTGTTGGGATCCGGGGGCGATAATGGCCGCACCACTATCAAGGAGCTCGATTATGGCCTGCTTGGTGAACTTTGAGTGGATTGGTGCTCCCGCGTGGTTGTCTTTCTGAAACGGCGTGGGGGGCCCATGCTTCCATGGCATCCAATAGCCATTTAAAACCACCGAGAGTATGAAGCTACTCTCACACCATGAGCTCCACCAAGGAAATGCTGCGCACAGGCGTCCGCGCATGGTCGTGACGAGCTTGTCGGTGATCGCGATCTCGTACGGGTCATACTCAACCATCGAGCCGATACCCGGTGTATCTGTGGACCATGGGGTTCGGGGCAGCATGGGACATGCTTCGTTAAGCAAGGTATGCGGCAATGTAGGTCCCCCGTGAGGTTCTCACTCTCGCTCTCTCTTTTTCTCTCTCTTCCTTTCTCTCTCGTTGTTGTTGTTGTTGTTTTTTTTTTTTTTTTTTTTTTCATGAGTCCTTTTGCCTGATTGCATGCACTTGGGTGTTCCGCCCTGTGCCTAACATGTGGTGCTCGTAGGGCAGCTCCTTCTTTTGCTCGGTGAGCTCATCACGGTGAACATCTCGCTCGCGCTCTTCCTTCCTTCCCCCTCTTTTTTTTTTTTTTTTTTGCATGATCATGCTTGCCGTTCTCCAGATTCGTTGGATAGCCGTCCTTGCTGCCGTCCCCTTCTTAAGACCATGGAAACCTTGCCTTGCGTCTCGGGCTCCTGGCTTAGTGGGAACAAAAAACTCCCTCCCTTCGTAGTTTTCTCTCTCGCTTGTTTCCCTCTTTCTCTCTCTTGCTCTTATTCTCTGGTTTTTTTTTTTTTTTTTTTTTTTTTTTTTTCAGAGGCTTGTGGCTGCTCCCGTTGCAGCTTCTTACACACGTTGAAACCAAGGGCCTTAGTAAGTCACACAAAAATCACCGTTTTCACAAACATAGCCCATTATGCATTCCGAGCCCTCAATAATGCACACAAGAAATCCACCATTTCATTAAATGCTTTACTCTAGGACTCCTAGTCCTATCCCCTTGCCTTGGGGTTGGCCCGCGGCCATTCTACCATCCCCTCCGGGAAAACGGCCAGCGGCCTTGCACTCCCTAGTGCTACCTTGATCATGCCCCTCGACACCGGGTGATTGCCCTTTCGGGAGTTCACACCACCGGTGCGGGCCCTTGGGCTCCCGCCCCATTTTCAGGGCAAGCGTTGGCCATGTGGCCCGGCTGCCCGCAGCGGTAGCAAGAGCCTCGAAAGCTCCTGCCGTTGCCATCACTTGGCGGGCCACGCTTGTTCCCAAAGGCCATGGGCCCACGCCCTCCGCCGCGTGGGGCGCGATTGAAATTTCCTTGGGCGCGCTCCATGGCGGCTACGTCCGCGACGACCTGCTTGAACGGGCGAGAAGTGAAGACGCTCTTGTCTTCATAGAGCTTGAACCTGTTTGCGGTGCGGAAGTTGGTGTAGTCGGCGACGTGAAGTAACTTGAAGCGGTTGGTGATGAGCGTGAAGGCTTCGCCAAGGAATTCGAGGGCGCTTGCCGGCTCGTTGTGCCGCACCTTGTGCTCTGCATGCTTGAAGTATGCCCGCAGGTGTTCCAGGACCTCGGCTTGCTCGCGCACGGCGGCGTTCTTGAACGAGGCGGCGGTGAGGGTGGGGTTGGGAGAAGGGAGCGGAGGGAGTTGCTCATCGGATGCAAAAGCGACACCGTCTTCGTCTTCTTCATTGTCGCTGTCGGTGGGGTTGTTCATGACTGGGGTCGCAATGGCGCGTGTGTCTTCGCCCCTTCCGGTTTTTGTCGTGCGAGCGCGCTTCACGGACTCCGTTTTCGCCTTTTCGCTTTTAGCAGAAACCGAAGTTGCGTTTGGTGTAGCGATTTCTTCAGTAACAGCAGGGGTCTGCTGCTGTAACAGGGTCAGCAGCTGCTGCAGTTGGGCTGCAATGAATGATGGCGCCACTTGCGCGCCCGTCGCCACTTGCGCGTGAGGCCCCACAGGCGCGTCAGGGCCCACAGGCGCGTCAGGGCCCACAGGCCTGCGTCGCTGGCGCGGACGGGGGGTGCCAGCCGCGCTGGTTGGTGCCGATTTGGCGCCTTCTGTCGTGGCCGGCGCATCAGGGGCCACAGGGGCTCGAGGCACACCAGGGGCGTGTGCCTCGACACCAGCAGCGTGTGCCTCGGTCGCGCCCAGCAGGACGTCGACGCCAGTCGGGGAAATTTCCCCGTCTTCTGCACGGCGCTTGTTTGGGCGATCGCCCGCGATTTCGCGTGCGTTTCTTGCGGACTCGGGTCGAGTGGGGGCCGTAGCGGTATTAGACTCCCCGCCGTTAAGTGCCATAGTTGTTGCGTTGTGCGCGAAAATGTCAGAGAGTAAAGTCGACGGGGATTGAAAGCGAGGAAGAGACTTGGTCCTCGCCAGCTTGAGTGTGGGAGACGAAAATCGGCTAAACCGTTTGAAAATGAGAGACGTGGGTGGAGGGAAATGACCTCCAGCCCACGTTTTGTACTCCAAAACGGGCGTTTAGCGCGGTTTGTCGCTGCCCATTCCTACATTACAGACTGCTTCGCTTTCAAAATACGAAATTTTGAAAAGCGTTACACTTTTAAAAATATTCATATTGTGCGCGACCACCCCAACAAGACACTCCTCCTGCACCAGAATGCATACGTGGCGAATGTGCAACAGTGATTCTTCAAGGGGGCGCCACCGAAGAAGCAGCCGATCACCCCTCTCTCCTCTACCAGCTTTGTCATGGAGGATGCTGAGCTGTTTGCCGATCGCACCATGACCGACCACCTTGCAGCAGGTGCACACCTGAGGACGGATGCGCATTGCCATGAGCCTCACCGGACCTGGGGCTGCTGTTCAAGGGAGGACCAGAGAGTTTGACTCTCGTGGGATATGCGGATGCAGATGATGCAGGCGACAAGGAGAACCGGTCGTCCACGGAAGGCTACCTCTTCAAGCTTGGCGGAGCTGCCGTTTCATGGCAGGCCAAGAAGCTGCAGGGTGCGACCAAACTTAACTCCACCGAGAGCGAGCTTGTGGCTGCGGCGGAAGCGGGAAAGGAGGGGCGCAAGCTAAGGTTCCTGCTGTGGGAGTTTCAGCTGCTCAAGAAGGGTGTCCCCACCACCCTGTACGTCGACAACATGTCAGCGGTGCAGCTCAGCCAGGCGGGCGGGCTGCAGGGGCGCATGAAGCATGTGGACCGTCGCCACATGTGGCTACAGGACATGGTGCGCATGAAGAAGTTGGAGGTGCAACATATCCTTACAACGGCGCAGTCCGCGGACTTCTTCACAAAGCAGCTCAACAAGGCAGCCTTCAACCGATGCTGTGTAGCAGCCGGGCTGGTCCAGCGTGCTCCTGACAGCAAGGGGGCGTGTTAGAAGGAAATGCTGCCATGAGCGACAAAATGTCTACGCTGGGATTCGAACTCGTGACCTTCAAATCTGTCCTGAAAGTGTCTCAGGACAGATTCAGGACAGTTTCTGCTAAGGCGCTGGTTATGGTGTACACGAGTTTCGAACTTGAGACCTTTCGATTCAAGTGTCCTGAAAGTATCTTGTCAGGACAGTTTGGGGACAGATTGGGGACAGTTTGGCAAAATCGGTCTCGGGTCGCGTTCGGTCTGAAACTCGGCAGCGAAGTGTCGAAGTCAACGGAATTCACACGGGAGTTACAGTCGGTGGTCGACGCAATTCTTCTCGCGGAAGTTCTCGTCTACGGAATTCCAGTAAATGGAATTCACTCGGCCAGGTCGCACGTTGAATTTCGTCGACGCGAAATTCGAAGCCTTGAATTTCGCCGAGCGAATTCCATTGACTGGCGGCTTCGAAGCCTTGAATTTCGCCGACCGGATTCCATTGACTGGCGGCCTGATGTGATGGAGTGCCGCTGCTGCTGGCGGCTTTGCACTGCCACTGCAAGGGGTGTTGCGTGGGGCGGGCAGCTCGTTGGCTCATGGGCGTCAAACTGCCCTCCGTGGCTGCCTGATGTGATGGAGTGCTGCTGCTGCTGGCGGCTTTGCACTGCCACTGCGAGGGGTGTTGCGTGGGGCGGGCAGCTCGTTGGCTCATGGGCATCAAACTGCCCTCCGTGGCTGCCTAATGTGATGGAGTGCTGCTGCTGCTGGCAGCTTTGCACTGCCACTGCGAGGGGTGTTGCGTGGGGCGGGCAGCTCGTTGGCTCATGGGCGCGAAACTGCCCTCCGTGGCTGCCTGATGTGATGGAGTGTTGCTGCTGCTGGCGGCTTTGCACTGCCACTGCGAGGGGTGTTGCGTGGGGCGGGCAGCTCGTTGGCTCATGGGCGTCAAACTGCCCTCCGTGGCTGCCTGATGTGATGGAGTGCTGCTGCTGCTGGAGGCTTTGCACTGCCACTGCGAGGGGTGTTGCGTGGGGCGGGCAGCTCGTTGGCTCATGGGCGTCAAACTGCCTTCCGTGGCTGCCTGATGTGATCGAGTGCTGCTGCTGCTGGCGGCTTTGCACTTCCACTGCGAGGGGTGTTGCGTGGGGCGGGCAACTCGTTGGCTCATGGGCGTCAAACTGCCCTCCGTGGCTGCCTGATGTGATCGAGTGCTGCTGCTGCTGGCGGCTTTGCACTGCCACTGCGAGGGGTGTTGCGTGGGGCGGGCAGCTCGTTGGCTCATGGGCGTCAAACTGCCCTCCGTGGCTGCCTGATGTGATGGAGTGCTGCTGCTGCTGGAGGCTTTGCACTTCCACTGCGAGGGGTGTTGCATGGGGCGGGCAGCTCGTTGGCTCATGGGCGTCAAACTGCCCTCCGTGGCTGCCTGATGTGATGGAGTGCTGCTGTTGCTGGCGGCTTTGCACTGCCACTGCGAGGGGTGTTGCGTGGGGCGGGCAGCTCGTTGGCTCATGGGCGTCAAACTGCCCTCCGTGGCTGCCTGATCTGATGGAGTGCTGCTGCTGCTGGCGGCTTTGCACTGCCACTGCGAGGGGTGTTGCGTGGGGCGGGCAGCTCGTTGGCTCATGGGCGTCAAACTGCCCTCCGTGGCTGCCTGATGTGATGGAGTGCTGCTGCTGCTGGCGGCTTTGCACTTCCACTGCGAGGGGTGTTGCGTGGGGCGGGCAGCTCGTTGGCTCATGGGCGTCAAACTGCCCTCCGTGGCTGCCTGATGTGATGGAGTGTTGCTGCTGCTGGCGGCTTTGCACTGCCACTGCGAGGGGTGTTGCGTGGGGCGGGCAGCTCGTTGGCTCATGGGCGTCAAACTGCCCTCCGTGGCTGCCTGATGTGATGGAGTGTTGCTGCTGCTGGAGGCTTTGCACTGCCACTGCGAGGGGTGTTGCGTGGGGCGGGCAGCTCGTTGGCTCATGGGCGTCAAACTGCCTTCCGTGGCTGCCTGATGTGATCGAGTGCTGCTGCTGCTGGCGGCTTTGCACTTCCACTGCGAGGGGTGTTGCGTGGGGCGGGCAACTCGTTGGCTCATGGGCGTCAAACTGCCCTCCGTGGCTGCCTGATGTGATCGAGTGCTGCTGCTGCTGGCGGCTTTGCACTGCCACTGCGAGGGGTGTTGCGTGGGGCGGGCAGCTCGTTGGCTCATGGGCGTCAAACTGCCCTCCGTGGCTGCCTGATGTGATGGAGTGCTGCTGCTGCTGGAGGCTTTGCACTTCCACTGCGAGGGGTGTTGCATGGGGCGGGCAGCTCGTTGGCTC